AACTCTCTTAACTATAATTGTGGACATATGCTTTTCCTATTCGTTTTCTCAGTCAATCACAACGTAGAATCTATAAGTATGTACAACGGTTCAATTCACCATACCTGATTAACATGAAATTGTTGGGTAAAATCCCAGAATATTAGAGTTAGTAACAATATCTGTGGTAATGGAAAAGATTAGTCACCGAAGATATGAATTGACGAAAAATGTAATGTAATTTAGAATCTCAGGATTTGGTGGAAAACATGAAGCAGATGCAGCTGTTCCATCACAAACTTTTTAGCCATTTCTCTAACCATTGGTTACGAGGATCATGCGGACCCTAACCAGTTAGTCTACATCTATCAACATGACTTGGTGTAACTGTCAGTCTTCATGAACTGATACTATGTTTTGATTTGGTCACCCCTATCTTTCTTCCAGCCTAATCCTGTACCAGAAAACATCGCTCGTTGATGTAGGCGGTGGATAGACATTCGTTACACATGTCCCAACCACTTCAGTTCGATTAAGATTTACTACCTCATCAATTGATTTGCCATCTTTCCCTAATACACTATTACTAACCCAGGCATTACTTCATTTTGTCGTTTACCATCTCACTTCCATCTTATGAATCGATTTCTTTGTGTACCTATCCTGCAATATACATTTCTTCTATAATCAGATACTCTGCTTTTGAAATCATTTCAAAGATTTGTAATTCAGATGAAATGGTACTTGAAGTACTTTGTCTGGAACAATTAAGAAAACATCAATATACATCAAACTAATGAGTTTCAAATTCAATTCTATTAATATTATTGTTTATGTTTTTATAACTTTTTATCTTATTACACTATTACGTAATAAGATACATTTAGTTGGTATACATGGTAGGTAAACATATACAATAACAACAGATACAACAATGCCTTTTATGGCGAGACTGAAAACGAACCAATCACGTATAAGATAACAGGTCTGGGATGTTGGCGCGGAACTCACTCATCAATTGGTTGACAAAATAGAATTTTGACATGGTTAAGGTCCTAATTAACTGATATCGGTTTGTGATGAAAAGCGTAAATAGAATTCATAACATTAACCATCAACTGTCAAAGTCCTCACACAGGTTTTTTTGGTTTTAGTCAGTAGGTGAACACTATCAAGGTCACTTTAGCGTCGTTCAAAGATGATCATTCATCCCTATTATTTTTTAAATTTTGACACATGTGCCTGTTAGTAATTATCCAGATACTATTATATCATTGTATATTGGCCTATAATAATTTGTATCCAATCCACATGTAAACATGCACTTATACACAAGATCATGGTAATAAATTATGATGCAAGTACATAGACGTCATTGTATAATAATGTATTGACTTTTTTTTCACTTCTGAATAAATATGTTGATTACATGTGACTTAATATGAAACATTTCATCTTGTTTGTCTGTATCTATCTCTCTCTCTCTCTATCTATCTAGCTATGGATACATACATATAACTGTAGTGGCTTGGCTTCGAGATAATTCCTAAGGCCATTGTATATCAATCAGCTTGATAACTATTATTTTAATATAAATCCCAATAACTCGGTATAATTTAAGACGGCAACACATGAAGTACGGACTACAGTCTAATACTGGATAGTACAGATTATAATATTTATAAACACTACCAAAGTAAAATGAGGAATATATGCGTAGGCTGTCACACATGATCAAGCATATATGTTCATACAGACATGATAGTAATATTGATAATAATACAAAGAAATAGATAAATTGTTACTATTCAAATAAGTTAAATGAAAGGCTTGACAAAATTAATCGTATACAAACTTGATTGTAGGGAATATGCTCTATTATTAATGAGAAAGGATAAGACATAATGAGATTTCTAAGTTAAGTCTAGAATATAAAGCCTTCCCCCTCCCTAAATTTGACAAATGTATCAATAGTTGCAATGATGAATCATTTGAGGCTAGATTACCATGGGAAACCTGAAAGCACTGGACGGTCGTTTCATCCTATCGTGGGACGCCTCAGCAGTGCTCATCCACGACTCCGTCTCGCGAGATTCCAACCCAGGACTTATCAATCTCGTGCACGAGTGCTTAAACACTAGACCACTGAGCTGGCATCTAATGATGTTAATGTCTAACTTTAACCAATCCACAAAATCGAGAGACACATTCATCATTATTATCAGTGAGTTAATATCTCACAACAGACCTGGTTGAACTCCACTGGTCACTGCTTCTCACTAGTACTCCAGGAAATAGTTCTTGAAGCCAATCCCCAGCGAGCATATGTTGATTAATATCAGGAGTTTTTGTAGATATTATAGTAATCTCATATATTATTATATTACTATAATTTCCACAAAACCCCCTTCAGATATATCTATATTTGTTAAAGCATATTGGCTACCAGACAAATTATTAATCACTTTGTTATGTTTGTATATTTTTAACTGAAAATTTCTAATGTATCATATCAAACTGACGTCCATCAAGTACATCATTCGGATTATTATGTCAGTGTTCACGCAGTTTTTTGATGTTGAATGTGTCCAATTCCCGGGACTGAACCGTGATTGGATAATAATCTGTTGATGTTATTTAATCATGTTAAATAGCCCTAATGCAACTGAACTGCTAAAAGTTGTCTCTAGTTTTTATTAATCCATTATGTTTAACTTTGCTATGTTTAGCGTGCCTTTTTGAATTTCAGGTTCGGTATTAGTTACTAGTACAATAATAATATGTCTTTTTGAAATTCTACTTACCTGGAATAAAACCATTAAATGAATCATATTGATTTTATGAGTACAGCGAAGTAAAAACCATTCCCTAAAGTGTCTGGAGCGTGTGTTATGCATACTCAGTCACTTTTAACTATGTAATACAAGAATAAGGTTGAAGAAAGCTAAGGATATTCAGTTCGAAACGTGACAATAACCGATGAAACCATTGGTTGTTGAATTGACCCATCACTAAAAAATCATATATCTTGACAAATCAGACAATTATAATCTAATGATTTGGGAAGTTGTAAAATATAGCAACAGCTTTGCGCGCCTCATTTATAATGTTATTTACGATTGAATGAATGAATGAAAGAATGTCGGGCAATGCTGGTGGTTACTTCGCTATCGTAACTTACGCCTGCTTTGGTGGGTGGCCTGTCTAACCAGTGAACCGGAAGAACCTCCTTCGCCATCCTGTCATTTCCCGACCGTTGTTGTTACTTTAACGCGATGATCGGGCTTGTCTATCGTGTTGAAGCAACCGAGCTATACTGGCTGGAACAACTGTTCCTCAAGGTACTACCATGTCAGACAGGTCGGTTGAAGAGCGTTAAAAATAAAACCAACAAACGCAAGGTCTGAAGTCAATGTCGTACTGCTGATTGTACAGAGGTGTGACAACAGTAAGATGTTTCCTTCAGACAACCAGCATGACAGCGATGCTGCCTTCTCACAAGGAAGGAAGGGGTTAGAAAAGGTTGACACTAAAAATGCACACCTCGCCACTTACCCCACGGATATCCGTTTCTTGCGGTGCGGTCTCAACAAGTACGGAGCTAATACAAAAATTACTCATAAAAAGGTCGTGTGTGACTGACGTCAAGTAGTTGTCCCTTTGGCACTGCGGTCACGCTCTTATGTCACTAAGACTACCTTTAATCCAATTTTCTTTTCAGGTACCTGCAGAAGAACCCTTCAACGGTTTAGTTAACCGGGGAGTGATAACTTCCGTTATACCTCTAACAACACTCAAGACCACTGTATTCTGATGAAAGAATAATCAATTTGATATATATATATATATATATATATATATATATATATATATAATTAAGTAACATGATAAATTAGTATTACCACTCTTACTCATTGCTAGTTCTCTGGTCGAGATGAATTCATAATGAATAAATCAGTTATCTAATTATTATTATTATTATTGTTATTATTATTATTACATAAATAATGATAATTAATTATTCAAATGTATTCTATGGTTTATCCTACTATGAAGAATGATTACTTTCATTCTAAATCGGTTAACTTAAAACTAAGGTAGCTCACTGTGTTGATTTTGTTCTCTTTCAAATTTCTTTTCATTGTTTGTTTGTTAAATTGATTGTCATTTTGTTGAATATTATATCAATTCACTATATGGTAATGGTTTATATTATATACTGTGTAATGATTACACTTTTATAACTCATGTGTTACATGATATTCATTTTCCCTTTTAAGTACTACTAATCAATGAATTGATTGATTTTACATTCCTTTTTAATGTGTATTTAAGAAAATGTAACATGTGATTGCTGTATTTATTTATTTATTTATTTATTTATTTATTTATTTATTTATTTATTTATTTATTTAAACACATAAACATTGGTACAAGAAGGTAGCAAATAGATATGCACCGCACAAATCATTCGATTTAATATAAGGATTAAGATACTGTTCGGGTACCCAAACCGAAGCAGGTGACTTTGTTAAGGGGCCACACTCGGAGCCTTCGACCTAAAGGTTTAATCCAGAAGACAGTGGAGTAACATAAGGAGATGCAGTCCCATGGTACCACGTGACCAATAATTAGTTCATACGTCATTTGTCTCTTCAGGATCCTAGAGTCCATGTACACCATAGGTTTGGAATCAGTGTTTTTCAATTCTCCCGGATGTATCCTCCATATCCACTAATGTGGTTAGATCGCCGAACATTCGCTTTTCGTGCTTTCAATTTTGTAAACAACACTCTTACTGTATGAAGGCATTGAGTAGGACTACCATGGCAGTGATTATATGCACGTGGCCCAAGTGAGAGCATTTCGAGAGGGTGAGCTGACTCTCCTCACTCTCGGCCGTACGAGGGCACGTAAAGTGTCTGCATTATTTCGTAATTAATGTATCATGTTTTTTTTGTATAGAATTCGTAGTTAAAGTGAGCCGTATGTTAAACAGCCTTCTCTTTCTCTCTTTTCAGTGAAGAAACTATGTCAATGTTATTAAATCGTATTATAGCTAATGAATACGCCGTACCATCTATTTTAGTCAGTTGTGTAAATGTATGTATTGCTTTAATCGGTAAAAAAAAGCCGTAAGTTAATATCTTTTTTTCAATATTATTGAACGTTTTTATTGCTATGACAATAATCATCTGGTAGGTGTTTTCATGATTTCATAATGATGTACACCTTTTCTTGAACTACTGAAATGATGAATAATGTATTGTATCGATAAATAACACATTATACCTGGTTACTAGCTAGTTATAATATTGATTCACTAACATTCTATCCTCTGCAATTCAAATGAATGCATTCCTAAACATCAATGGGAAGATTCAAATAAATAATACCAAGTGAATTTAAACTTCACCCCATTGCTGCACAAGCAAGTGGCCTTCAGGACTCAGTAGCTAAGTGGATAACGTGATGGCGTTTCAAGCGAACGGTACTGAGTACGAGCCTCAGATTGAACATCAACTCTGAGGTGCAGGTACATCCAGCTGACGGAGTCCTAAATAGGAAGAAACGCCTGTCCTGGATTCCATTGCTAACCACCGTCCTATATATCTTATATACAAAATATTAGGATAAAAATAAACATGATTAGCTTTTATTTCTCAAACAAGCGATTCATGTAGATCAGATTAGTTTGGATCACCTACTTGTCAATAGAATTAAAATCTATTTGTTATATCTCGAAAGTTGATTACTTGATATAACGCGTACAACTGAACACAAGAACGCCCAAACCCTTCCAAGTCGCAAGGAGAAGACAGAAGACTAGTGAAAGGAATGTTATTCCAAACAGTGTCAATTATGGGTACAAATTGTCAGGTATTTATAGTTTTTAGTAAGAACAAAAATCATCATTATAGTCCTCCAATCCGCATACAGGGGATTATTAGCCTTGTCCAATCGGGAAGCTACACGTAGGAATTCTAGAATATTCTTCCTAACAGTGATTGGATGGAATATCTTCGGCTCCTTCTTAGCCTCTTATAGCTTCCTCAAGTTTACCCGTGGTCCGTCGTCACACTATTGGTCTCAATTTGACCCCGTCATATGTGCCCCTGGTAAATTATTGTATTTCAACAGGATGCTGAAAAGTTTATCAACTTTCATCTACCTTTGTTGTGTTTTTTTTAACACTCTCGTCCCTAGAATTGAGTGTAGGCGCACTGATTTTTTTTAGATACAAATGGTTTAACATCAGAATATTTAATTCTAATAGATCAGATCAGCTCACGTGCAACTGAGTTTGGTCACATTTAATTCAGTCAAGCCCTTTTGTTAACTTATTTAGCGGACAGAGTCATCCGTGCTATAAGAACTTATTGTTTCTTTATTATTGTTGCGTTTGTATGAAATATGTATGCTTGAACATTGTTTACTGCCTACTTATATATTCATCCTGTTAGCTTTATTATTAGCTGTTTAATTGATTCGATGATCCATCCGTTTCCCTATATATATACATGTACATTTAACACTACATTCTCGGTTCGCTGACTCACTCATTTGCCTCTGCATTGTGGTCTGAGTTATCTGCTAATAAAACTGTAGTTGCTGCTTCTCTTTGCCTTCTGATTTCTAACACCTTTGAGGATTGTATGTGATAACGGTTACAAGGGTGATTGGCTAACGAAGCACAGCCAGTGCAAGATATTAGAATAATTGATTACTGGAAACTACAATTGTACGTAAGTGTACAAATACAGTTCGAGTTTAAGCATGAAAAATTTACATGAGACAGGGCGATTACTCAATATTGCGACCATTCTCCAATGTTAAAGGTTTATATCTGTCAGTCTTTATTAGTATTGTGAGATTTAGCTAAAATTTACATTACAAGGAGGGGGATTTTAAATCTGGTTAACAGTTGAATCTTTAGTTAATTAACGTATGAATGTTTAACCAATTACATAAGTATATTTCACTTTGAGATATGGTGGTGAAGATTTGTATCTAAGGTGGATGATTTCGGTGGAGTTTTGTTCTCTAAACTGGATAGTTTAGTCGTGGAGCTTTCATCGTTTTTCTGAGTGAAATCGTCATCACAAATTTCTCAACATATAACTCACAGCTTGTTCTCTAGACCTCGATTTTGATTGGTTATTGTTAACCTTTAATCTGTCATTGTTTACTTCTTCACCTCATTTCTACCTGATGATGTCGTTCAGAATAACGATGAAAGCTCTACAACCAAACCATCCTGCTCAGAGAATAAAACTCCACCAAAATATTTTACTTTAGATTGTTGTGTATATCTACACTCATCTGTTTAGGTCAAAGGCTTGTGGTTTGGATCCCCATGAAAACCACTTGCTCTGATCTGGGTACCCGGGCAGTATCCCGGCCCTCACACAAATCGAATGATTTAGTGCCTACTTGTACCTTGTGTTTAAATAAATAATAATAATAACAATCATCTGTTCAATAAATACTTGATTAATGAGTTATGGAACATTTTGTTTAAATTCTAGGAAGAACTCACAAATTGTCAAGGTGTGTATCGTTGAAGCATTACCTTAGTAATGTTTCAACTTTACGACCAATCACTTATTTTAATTAAACTACTAATCATTTATGTTTACTAATTACTGATTCACTATCAAAATGAAGTGCTAATCCGACTAAATTCAAAGAAACTCTCTATCCACAAATACACAAACAAACTGTTTAGAATTAGAACGAATAGTTTAACAGAAATTAAGTACCGAATATAGAGAAGTCATTATATGCGTAAAAAGTATATTTGCGAAATAATCTCAGCGATTGGAATTTAAAATAACAATTCCAACCTTTTGTCCAACCAACTTGTCTGGACTTCTTCAGGGTAAATGTTGGAATTATTTTTAAATTTCAGTCGCTGAGATTATTTCACATAGAAGTGTGTATTGATTATTTATAATCACTGGTTGAAATCATGAGTCAACTGAATCTAGACAACCATAGAAAACCTGGAAGCACTGGGCGGCCGTTTCGTCTTAGCATGGGACTCCTCAGCAGTGCGCATCCACATTCCCGCCCCTCGCGAGATTCGAACCCAAGACTTATTAGTCTTGTGCGCGAACGCTTAACCCCTAGAGCACTGAGCCGGTTTGCATCCAATGATGTTAATGTTTTACTTCGACCAATCCACGAAGTTGCGCCACCGTACACCATTGTCTTAAGTGAGTTGATATCTCACAAGTTGAAGTTAAACATTAACACCGTTGAATGCCGGCCAACTCATTAGTCTAGTTGGTTAAACGCCAGGCGCAAGACTGGTAGGTCGTTGGTTCGATTTTCGCGGGAAGGGGCCTGATCGTGGGTGCGCATTGCTGAGGAGTCCCATGCTAGGACGAAACGACTGTCCAGTGCTCACAGGTTTCCATGGTGGTTTAGCTTTAATTAACTCATGATTTCAACCATTGAAATTTCTAAAATCTCCACAAAACCCCTTTCCGATAATATTTATAATCATTTTGTTCAACTACATTATTCAGTAGATATTAAGTAGTATAATGTATTTTTTCTCTTTTTATTTTAACTATTCCTTTTTTTGTCTTTTTGTATATTCTTAACTGTTTTAGTGAGTCAAGTTTTCCTGTTGGAGAAGACGGACATGGTTTAGATTTTGATGCATTAATTAAATGTTCCGGTGATATTAGCAACAGTTTGAAATCTATATTACGTAATACTACTACTACTAATAATAATAATAATAATGATACTAATAATAATAATCATCCAGGCAATAATCTCTCTTCTACTGCGGATAATCATATCAATGATATTGTTGAAAAGTCGAACCAATTAATTACTTCATCAAAAGATGATAATACTACTACTACTAATAATAATAATAATACCGTTATTGATAAATTACATATAATGAAAGCTTCAGAAAATCTAATCAAAATGACTCTACCACATTTAGATGAATTGCATAATTTATTGAAACGATTTCATCCAGTAAGTGTTTGTATATGAATTTCTCCAGGGTTCTTTTTCTTTCTTTCCATTGAATCTTCTAACTAATGTGAATTGATTGCAAGTGTTCTTTCTACATCTAGTAACTTGTTATTATTATTATTTATAGTTTTGCATTACTTACTTAAGTACACCTGTTACTCCTAATGGAGCATAGACCGCCGACCAGCGTTCTCCAATCCACTCTGTCCTGGGCCTTCTTTTCTAGTTCCGTCCAATTTTTGTTCATTCTTCTCATGTCTATCTACATTTCTCGGCATAATATGTTCTTTGGTCTTCCTCTTCTCATTCGACCTTAAGGATTCCATGTAAGGGGTTGTCATGTAACGTAGTTGGGTGCTTTCTTCAATATGTGTCCTTTCCGTTTCTAGCACTTCTTCCTGATTTCTTCGTCCGCTGGGATCTGATTTGTTCTCTCCCATAGTAGGTTGTTTCCGATAGTGTCTGGCCAACGGATCTGAAGTATTTTGCGTAGAATAGTTTTATATTACGGATTAATTTTAGTTGTCATATAATTGTGTGGATCTCTTCAGTAGTGTACATGTACGATACCATACAAGATCGAATCCTGAACCTTTAATTCTCAGAAGCATTGGTAAACCTAGAGACCATTAAGTCACCATGCAATAATTTACAATTGTAGTTTCAATCAATTTGTTATGTTACATTTATTTTTAGTACCATGTTCATAATCAATCGAACTTGGTGAAACTTAATCTCAATTATAGTTAGATTAGTTAATGATTTATAGCTAGACATGTACTGTAGATTTTAACCAATGATACTTTTTAATAATAATATTGTGGTATGTCCTACTTATATCGACATAAGTAGTATTTAACGCTAGTTAAGAATCGAATGTCTGGCAGCAGAAGGGCAAGAAGATTGAGAAGGAAGGAACGGGTATAGAAAGCGATTGGTATGGAAATACAGGAACAATGACATCTGCGACGATAGACTGATATTTGCAAAAGAAACAGTCAGTTTTGAGATCATTGATTATTATTTTGCAGATTAAGTATTCACTGTATGATTCTCAAAATTTATTAAGATGTTCTGTAATTTTGTGTTCAACGACATTCGATTATCCCGCCTGTATTCACTACAGTATTACTGAAAGGATATCGCACTGTAATAGTCTAAGTGTTTTACTATCCTTTTGGTTTATAAGATGAGTACTGATTAACATGGAACTCAGTAAGTAGGACTATTCTCATTTGTTGTATCCAACACACCACTCACCCAGCCCCCTATATATCAGGCATAATAGTTTAAATTCATTTGAATGGCAAACACACAGTCTCCAACCATTCTTTACGATAGTTACACGGACCCCAACCACATAGTCTGCATCTACTAACCAGGCTCAGTCTAGAAGTTAGTAGACTAATGCCACGTTTTGGCCAATTTGGCCACTCCTAACTTTCTTCCAACCATTCCCAACACTAGTCAGTATTGCACGTCGCGACAATCGGTGTTCAGTCATACGTAACACATAACCCAACCATGGTAACTATGATAATGGTTACCTAGTTATTACTGAAATTATTGATTAGTATATGATTAATTTTATAACTATGATCCATATATTATTGAGTAGTAGTAGTAGTCATAGTAGTAGCACATGGTTCTCTATTATCATCATCATCATCAGCAGCAGCAGCAATTTGGATTTAATTGGCTTTAATGGTTTCTTTCTAAAAACTAGTTTTTAATAAAAAAATTTCTAATTTTGTTTATTTATTTATTTATTACTATTTAAAGTAAATCCTTTTTTTTCTTCACTGAGCAACACCCATTTTAGATGATGATTCATCTAAATTGAGAAATGAAATAGTCACCGTTTCATTTTTGAAACACGCTCACCTTTGTGTGTGTGTGTGTGTGCATGTTCGATTCACATTCACTTTGATGTCATCTACTTGTTGGTATCATTATTATAAAGAAATGGTAATGATGTTCGCAACCACCGACTGCCTTGATGTGTGATGTTTCATGGTGTAAGAGTAGGTTGGAAGAAAGACAAGGGCAGCCAAATCAAAACATGGTACAAATCCATGAAGTCACTGACAAGTAGACTGAGTGAGCTATGTTGGTAGGTGTAAACTACCTGGTCGGGATCTGCGAGACCTTGAATGATATGGCTCAAAATCGTTTGCAATTGTGAAGGTGTATTCACTGCTTGTGTTCTCCCAAATTCTAATCTTCTGAATTCTGAATGTCTGTTCTTTGTTTTCTCTTTCCAAATTTATTTCACTGGATTATACTCCTTGAATAACATCTTCAAACCCTAATGTTTCTGATTACTGCTTATACTTTTACTACCTCTACCACTACGAGATTTGAATCGACAATTGTATCTGTGTGCTAATGTGGTATGGCAATTTGAACTGATGTACGTACGTACGAAGTTCTACGTTGTTGCTGACAGACTGACTGAAATTTCAATTTTTTTTTCTGTTTGTTAAATATAACTTAGATATACGTGGTGTATTTTGCGTAGTTGTCATAGAATATATAAAATATTTTGAGTATATACTCTAGGAGAAAAATAAATTGCTATATCTATTGGTTAATTATAGTTATGTTTAAAAACATATACGGAGGATCCACCAAGAAGAGTTGAAAAACTTTGATTACTACAAACCAATTGTGTACATGAACTCCAGGATCCTAATGAAATAAGTGGCATATCGTCTACCATAGGACTACATCTCCTGACGTCGCTCCACTGCCTTGTGAATTAGACCTTTAGGTCAAAGGCTTAGGGTATAGCTTTCTAAGGAAATCACCAGCTTCGGTTTGGGCACCCGAGTAGTATCCCAACCCTCACACAAATCGAATGATTTATGTAGTGTAAATCTATTTGGTGTCTTATTGTACCAATGTTTAACAGTTTAAATAAATAATAAATTTAGAATAGAATAAGATGAACAACTTTAAATCTCCATGTATATATGTATTCGTAATTCCCTTAGTTAACTCGATTCAAGTTTTCTAATTTTATCTGAATTGTGTGATTGTTTTCTTATTCAATTTTATTCTAATCTTAGCATTTTAACAATCCTTTAGTTTATATTAAAGTTTTAGATTGAAATCATGAAACGATCGATGTTAGATCACTTTTGGAAAACCTGAGAGCACTTGACGACTAATTTGTAGCTAATATGATATTCCTCAGTAGTGCACATTCACAATGTTACATGTAGGATCTGAAGTCAGAACATTTGATCTCGCGCGCGAATGCTTAAACTCTAGACCACTGAGTCGGTATTTTGTGGCTCCCAGATCTGACTCCAATGTGATTGTTTCTGATTGCTATTGATATACATATCGTCAATCCTCGTATATAATCATCGACTTCATTCGCGTTAGTCAATAACGGAATTAAATAAGTCAAATCCGGGAATGAATTTCGAATACGTGTATTTCATATAATCCTTGATCCAGACAAAATATCGGAGTAGCGAATAGAGGAGAATAAAGCAAAATGACTCTCAGTGGAAAAGCTTTTGAGCCAACTCCATTTGACCAAGCGTTAATCAATGTCTATAGTCACACAAAAATATACTACAGACATGTGATGAATGGGATAAAACGAGCACACATATATACGCTCATATAACAACAGTGTAGATTGAAAAGCGAATAATTAATAAGGCCAAAATGTGACTCAAGTAGAATGAATAGATTGGGCTGTCCCATGGCTAGAATAAGGTATATTGGATTAACATAACACTACAGGTATTCATTGGTGTTAATGTCTAAAATCAACCAATACACGATATTGCGCGACCACAACACTACTGAAAATTATTATGTGCTCTCTAGTGACTAGCTTCGAGAGCTAATTCTCGGAGTTCTATTGAGAATCAGTGACCAGCAGAGTTCAACCTTGTCATGTGTGAGGCGATTACTCACCGAAGACAATGGAAGATGGTTGCATATTTTTGTGGATTGGTTGAAGTTAGACATTAACACTGTTAGATGCCGACTCAGTGATCTGAAGGTTAAGCGTTCGCGCGCGACACCGAAGATCCTAAGTCCGATTCCCGCGAACGGGACCATGTGTTAGTGCTATTGCAGTACTATTGAAGCTAGACCACCATGCGAAACCCGGGAACACTAGACTATTAAAATTACTATAATATCCACAATACCCTTCTGATATTAACCAACATTTGCTCACTAGTTACGGTCTCCATGAGGTATTTTTAAGAGTTCTAGTGAGAAGCAGTGACCAATGGAGTTCAACCAGGTCTGTTGTGAGATAGTAACTCACTCAAGACAATGGTGAATGTGTCGCTCGATTTTCTGGATTAGTTGAATTTAGACATTCGAATGCGAGACTGATATGTCCTGGGTTCGGTTCTCACGAGGCGGTTTTGTGGATTCGGACTACTGAGGAGTCGCACAGTAGGACGAAATGGTCGTCCAGTACTTCCAGGTTTTCCATAGTAGTCTAGCTTCTATTGACTTATGATCTTAACTATTAAAATTGCTATAATATTTACATGATGACTATTACATGAATTAACAATTCTTTTTATAATCTATTTATTTATTATAGCAATTTTATAATTGTATGCCAACAACTCATTGTACATTGAATCCACCACTTGGACGTTGTCGTCTAGCTATTCTACAATTAATTGCTTCACTTATATCTTTACCTATTAGTACTAATTTATCTAAAGCAATTGTAGATAATGGATTTTTGAAAACTTCAATGGTAAATTATGATAATTGATTATTTGTTCTTTTCTTTTATTCCCTATTATATCCTATTCAAAGTTTAATCATATGATATAATGATATAGGTTGAATCGACTGTTGTATCTCTGTGCTAATGTGATAATGACAACTCCAACTGGAGTACGTACAAAGTTCTACGTTGTGGATTGAGTGACTGACTGACTGACTGACATATGATATTCGACTATTCATTGATGGAATCGAATTCTTTATTCTATTATTTTAGTTCATTTAACTAGATAGTGTATATACTATTGTTGTATGATAGTTTATATCTTATTAATTCATTCCGGTCATTTAAGCTATTAACAAAAGATATAGGAAAGTATGAATTAAACCGAAAGAATATATTAGGTATGTTTTTAAGTAGGTATGTATCAAATAACATCGATCCTTATCGTTTCTATTCTATTCTTGACACTTTTGTTTTGCCTTGTAATAATATACATCAGTCTAGGTAGTAGCTAAACTTGCTTAACACTTTTCTAATTTGACAATAAATCTTAGACTTATTCTTGCAAATTATTATTATTATTTGAACACATAGATATTAGTACAAGAAGGTACCAAATACATATGCGCAACACAAATCTTATTTGATTTGTGCTAGGGCTGTGATACTGCCCGGGTGCCCAAACCGAAGCAGGTGGTTTTCTTAGGGGGTCATACCCGGAGCCTTCGACCTGAACGTCTGACCCACAAGGCAGTGGAGCATCGTGAGGAGATGCAGTCCCATGGTAGCCGGTGACCAACGATTGGTTCATACGCCATTTGTTCCCGCAGGATACTGGAGCCCATGTGCACCATTGGTTTGGGGTCCGGTTAAAGCCAGTGCCGGACATTCGCTTTTCGTCCTCTCATTTTTGTAAACAACACCCCCGCCACGAGAAGGCAGTGAGTAGGACTTCCCTGGCAGAGGCTATGTACGCATGGCCATGTGAGAGCATTTCGAGAGGGAGAGCGGACTCTCCCCACTCTCGACCGTACCAGGGCATTTAGGGGCTCCCAGGGCATTTGGGGGACTCGTTAGCCTGGATATACCTAAGCATCAAGGAGAAGATTCCAACAAATAATAAAAAATGAATTAAATATTGATACATTCTATTCACCTTCTAACTTAGCTCATAATAAGCTACAAACTCTCTTGTCATCAAGTTTTGTAGTTTGCGTAATAATCTGCTAACTAATTTCTCATCAGTTCATCTATAAAAGTATAGTTTACTTTAAGGTCAACAAAAACCTAATCAACATGGAGGTAGGTCTACAGAACAATCTATGAACTACATGTGGAAAAATTTTAACACTTTACTTTTACCTGAAGTTTGTACTGATGATATCGTTCAGAAGATCGATGAAATATTCACGATCAAACTGTCCAGGTCAGAGAACAAAACTTCATGATAATCATTCACCTGAGCTATAAATCTTCTCCACTATCTCATAAAAGTATAAATTTTTTTCATGAATATTATTGGTTTGTATTGAATTGAACAAAACATTTATTTCACTGGTTGAAATCATGAGTCAATTGAAGCTTGACCACCATGGAAAACCTGAAAGCACTGGGCGGCCGTTTCGTCCTAGTATGGGACACCTCAGCGATTCGCATCCACGATCCCGCTCCCCGCTAGATTCGAACCCAGGACCTATTAGCCTCGCGCCAGGCGCTTAACCAACTAGACCACTGAGTTGGCCGGCATCCAACGGTATTAATATCGTGGATGCTCATTGCTGAAGATTCCCATACTAGGAAGAAACGGCCTTCCAGTGCTTTCAGGTTTTCTGTGGTAGTCTAACTTCAATTGACTCATGATTTCAACCAGTGAAATTTCTAAAATCTCCACACGACCCCTACTGATAAAAACATTCATTGTATTTCCCTCCCTCTTTTTCTTTCTTTTTGAATATATACATGTTCATATTGATAGGAATTATTCGCTTTATATCCATACAATACATTTTTACATCATTATGTTACTGATATTATTAAATCAGTATTTAAACATTCAGGATTTGTTAACAATATTAATAGTAATCATAACTCCTCCACTAATGTATCTGATAATGATCTCATCAATACGACTACTACAAATACTACTAGTAGTAGTACTATTACTGTTGAACTATCTTCTAATCATCACAATAATCAACTCACCGAATCTTTATCCCCTTCAATATCATCATCATCAACAGCAGCAGATGATTCGTCGACGAATACTGCTACCACTGAAACAACTGATTCTGATGATGTAATCCATTCAACAAATTCATCTATTACTAATAAATTTAATAAAAATATATTAATTCATTTAATAAAAGATCATCATCTTATTGATTGGTGTATAACATTATCTCCTTTACCATCATTGAATGAACGGTAAGTTTTCATAATAATAATAATGATTATTGATTATTTGTTTATTTGAACACATAAATATTGTTACAAGGGGGCACCAAATATATATACACCACACAAAACAATGAGAATTTAAAGAGAAGGGGAAAAAAAAAAGAAAGAAAGAAGGGTAAGGAGCGTAGGGAACAAAAAAGAGAACAATAACGACCAGATTAGTGTAAGGTGGTGTAATAGTAGTAATAATGGGAGAAACGAAAAGGTACAATCAGAAGAAATCTTACAGTTAAAGAGGATATAGCCACTTTTTATGAAGAAAGTAAAAGAAGGTTACAGCAGGATCACCACTGGCTTCTATTCTGTGCCATATCTGATAACGTCTCTAGCCACTGTGTTACACCATCTCTCGGACCCCAGCAAGGGAGTCGTGAAGTACCAACAGAAGCCAGCTCTTTGCAGCTTTCTTTCATACCACGACACCATGTTATACACTAACCATACGCCATTTATTCCCGCAGGATACTAGAGCCAGCCCATGTTCAGCATTGATTTGGAATCCAGTTAAAGCGCCGGACATTCGCTTTTCATCCTCTCATTTTCGTAAACAACACCCGTGGAGCGAGAAGGCAGTGATTGGGACTTCCCTGGCAGAGGCTTTATACGCGTGGCCATGTGAGAGCATTTCGAGAGGTAGGGCGAACCCAACCCGCTCTCGGCCATACCATGGCATTTGGGGGCCATAATTGATTATGTTCTTATATAAATAATATCAGCAGTGTATGAAATGTTTGTTTAATTTTAACTGATATTTAATTACATCATAGTAATGTATGAATGAAACCGGATGTTAAGAAATATGGAGTTCATTTCGTTGTTTCACTCGTCAATACTACAATGATCAGATTTAAACTATAATGACAAAAACTATATGGAGTTAATGAATATTAAATATATTCTATTGTAATTGGTAAATCAATTGATAAGATTGTGAATCTCCATCGATTGAAATGATTGGGCCATATGTTACGTATGCCTAAACACCAATTACCAGGACATGCAATACTGACTAGTGTTGGGAATGGTTAGAACAATGTTAGGGGTGGCTAAACTGGCCATAACGTGACATCGGTCTACAAGGTCACAAACTTCTAGAATGAGCCAGGTTATTAGATGCAGAACTACTTGGTTGGGATCCGTGTGACTATCGTAAAGAATGGTTGGAGACTGTGTGTGACATGGCTCAGAATCGATCACAATGGAGTACGTGTATACACTCTCTGTTTTCTCTTAAACTATGAGATTAAAATTACTTTATATCCTTCTCTCTACGAACTAATTCTTTCTTTCTGTACTATATGCACGCTTTTTTTTACATATTACCACCATTGAATTAACTGCTATGAATTTACTGTTTATCTTGTGCTAATGAAGTGTGTCATTGTGGACCAATGCATATATATATATATATATATATATATATATATATATATATATATATATGCCTGGTCCTACGTTGTAGCTGACTGACTCTAATGTAATAAGTAACAAATCATTTCGCTTTTTTTAAGAAAAAGCATATACTTGTGAAAGTGTTATCTTTTGTTATAACCTAACTATAGAGTTATTAATTCATTAGAACATTAGATTTTGTCCATTATGCAGTTCACCTTTTGTTATTCAAACTTTACACATCGAGATTCTAGAATATTCTTTCAAATGATAATTAAATGAAATGTCTTTAGCTTTTTCAGAGCTTCCTTAAGTTCACCAGGAGCCTTTCTCACATTAATACGATTCAAATTAAGATAATTACCCTAAATCCGTATCATTCCAAATATAGATTAATTTATTTATTTCAACACATAAACATCGGTACAAGGAGACACCAAATAGAGATATGCACCACAAAAATCATTCGATTTGTGTGAGGTCTGGGATATTGCTCGGTTGCCCAAACTGATGCAAGTGGTTTTCGTAGGGTGAAAGACCTGGAACCTTTGACTTAAGGGTCTGATCCACAGGAGATGCAGTTCTATGGTAGTCGTTGACCAACAATGGATTCATACGCTATTCGTTTCCTTAGGATTCTGGAACCCATGTAAACCATTGGTTTGAAATCAGGGTTTTTCAACTCCTCTAGATAAATCATCCCTATCCATCAACCCGGTTACAGCGTTAGAAATTCGTTTTTCATCTTGTCATTTTCGTAAAACAACACCCTCGCCGCAAGATGACAGTGAGTAGGACTTCCCTGTTAGTGGTTGTATACACGTGTTCTTGTAAGAACATTTGGAGAGAGAGAGAGAGAGAACTGACTCTACCCTTTCTCGGTTGTACCCCAGGGTATTTGGGATCAAAAAAATATGGAAGTTATATATAATTCTTTTATCGTACACCTTCTCTGATAAGATTTTAATGTAGTCAGCTGATGATCATAACTAAACAATTATCTATATTAATAAACAACAATCATATAGATAGAAAGAGATGCAACTATAATTAGATTAGTTTACTTTTTTGGCAATATATATATATATATATATATATTGTATTGATCTAATCTGTCACATATTTCACATTAATATAGAGAATAGAAGTAACTAAAAAGAAAGAAAGAAAGAAAGAAAGAAAAAAAGGAAACTATTTAGTATAAATAATTTAAAATATAAAGAAGAATATTATTATCAATAGAGATGAATATGATATATGTGAGAAAGAATGAGGAAGAAAAAAAAAGGAAAGTACATATATGAAGGTGTAGGCTTTTCTGTTGATTATCTTTAATCATCATCTTATCTTAACATAGTGGATACGATGTCGAGTCACTTAAACTTGTGGCCACATTGACATACATGATATTGATCACCACCCAGTGATCAATCAATTGTGATGAAGTAATTTCATTATGGTTAATCTGTAAAGGAAGAAATAAAATCGATATATATATATATATATCAAACGTAATATAGACTTTGAATTACCCCTAAATTCCTTGGTACGGCCGAAAGTCGGGAGGTTCAGCCCTCCCTCTCGAAATTCACATCGTCACGTGCACACAACCACTGACGGGAAAGTTTTACTCACTGCCTTCTAGTGGTAGGGGTGTGTTTTATGAAGTTAAGAGGGAAAATTGCGAATGTTCAACCTTATAACGGCGTTCGTGGACACGGAGAGTCCACCTAGCTGATTTGGAAAACCCTGATTTCAAACCAATGGTGAACATGGGCTCTAGTATCCTGGAGGAACAAATGGCGTATGAACTTATTGTTGGTCATCGACTACCATGGGATTGCATCTCCTTACGTTGCTCCACTACCATATGGATTAGACCTTTTGGTCAAAGGTTCTATGTGTGGGCTCCTAACAGAACTACCTGCTTAAGTGGTGCCCATCTATTTGGTGTCTTATACCAAAGTTTATGTGTTTAAATGAATAAATTAAATAACACTTTGACTTATCTGAGATTCTCTATTAATACTGAATTATTATTATGATTATATCAACCATTTTTTTTAAAGCAACTTTTTATATTTATAGTAAAAGAGATAAATATCCCACATGTTTATGTATTATAGATCAAGATATTCAGAAGATTTTATCTTTATGTTCTTCAAATAGAAGTATTATTTTCACGCGTTGAAACTAATAAAAACTTCAATTATCATTATGTATCATTTATTTGAACACATAAATGTTCGTACAAGAGGGGCACCATATATATATATATATATATATATATATATATATATATATATATACGCTACACAAAGCCGCCTGCTGGTACGGCCTAGAGTCGGGAGGATCTGCCCACCCTCTCGAAATGCTCTCACATGACGACGCGTATAAGGCCTCTGCCAGGGATGTCCTACTCACTGCCTTCTTGTAGCATTAGTGTCGTTTACGAAATTAAGAGAACGGAAAGCGAATGTACGGAGCTTTAACCGGATTGGTAGACACGGAGAGTTCACGTAGATGAGTTGGATAACCCTGATTTAAAAGCAATAGTTTACATGGGTTCCAGGATCCTAAGGAAACAAATGGCGTATGAACCTATTGTTGGTCACCGACTACCATTGAATTGCATCTCCTGACGTTATTCTATTGCATTGTGGATCAAACTTTTAAGTCTCAAAGATTCCGGATCTTGCCCCCTAAGAAAACCACTTGCTTTAGTTTGAGCAGCCGGGAAGTATCGCATCCCATGTTCAAATAAAATGAAATGATGATATTCACGCTCCATTATCATCTGAAAATTTAATTAATAATTTCCTTAGAAACATAACCGGAATAAATAAAGATGGATAAGTTTTTATAAACATCTACTTAGATATAGACTATTCCTGATGCATTTGGATATTTTGATTATATTTCAATTCATTTAAGTACTTTATAATTGATTATCTATGAAATTGTATTATAGAGTTTATGAACATGCATACCATAGTACTTTCACATGTAATATCATGCATAGTTATGATTTCAAGTTTTTATATAAATTTAAACAAAAAAAAATGAATAAATAAACTGAACTGATTTCTGTCATAGAATTAGATCAGATCAAGTTGATTCATAGATAACTTAGGTCTTATATAAACGTTTTGCTGACAGAGTAGTTAGACATGTTATTCTGTTGAATATTAAGTCTACATCATTTAGTTTATTGTAATAAAACTCGATTTTCTAATTATGCACCACACAAGTCACTTTATTTGTGTGTGAGCTATGATACTACTGCCTGGGTGATCAAACCGAAATAGATTATTTTCTTAGGGGGCCACATCGAGAGATACAGTCCCATGGTAATCGCTGAGCAACAATTCGTCCATGTGCACCATTGGTTTAGAATCAGGTTTTTCCAACTCCCCTAGGTGGATCCTCTGTAGCCACCGACCCGGTTAAAGCGCCGGACATTCATTTTCCGTCCTGTCAATTTGATAAACAATGCCCCCGTCACAAGAACGCATGGCAGTGGCTGTGAGAGAGTGACTAGGTGAGAGCATTTCGAGATTAAGAGCTAATTCTCCCTACCCTCGGTCGTATCAGAGCATTTCTGCTACAAATTCATTTACAGTATCATTTGAATCTGTCTAACTGATGTAATCAATTAGAATGTTTGTATTATTCTTTAATTGATTATCTTAAGTTGTCAAGGTTTATATTTACTCATTGTTGAAATTCAGGATTATATTTTACCAGTCTTTTTTTTGACAGACTAACATCTTGATATTACCCTTGATTATATGTGAATTATATCTTGTAATTAGTTACATACTTTCTTATATAATACTGTTTGACTATGGCACATCATTCAACTTGACCCAAATCAGATCAGGGGAACTGTAAGAACAGTATATATATATATATATATATATATATATATATATATATATATATATATATTAATTCCAATGCCATTGTGAATAGTATTTACCATGATAAAATTTTATTGTTTTCTCAATAAGCCAACTAACATGGGCTCCAGTATCCTGCGGGAACAAATGGCGTATGAACCAATCGTTGGTCACCGGCTACCACGGGACTGCATCTCCTCACGATGCTCCACTGCCTTGTGGATCAGATCTTCAGGTCAAAGGCTCGGGGTGTGGCCACCTAGGTAAACCACCTGCTTCGGTTTGGGCACCCGGGCAGTATCACAGCCCTCACACATATCAAATGAGATCTGTGTGGCGCATATGTATTTGGTGCCTTCTTGTACCGATATCTATGTGTTAAAATAATAAATAAAAACAACTAAAATTGATTACCTGAAATGAACGAACCAATATGTTTGAATCTGGTTCTTGTTCTCTTCCATTTCATTTTTCTGTTGACAGATAATCCACTTTCGATTTTTGCTACATACTATTTAAATAGTTAAGATCATGAGTCAGTTAAAGCTAGACTCAGTGGTCTAGTGGTTAAGTGCTCGCGCGCGAAACCAGTAGGCCCTGGGTTCGAATCTCGCAGGGGGTGAGGTCGTAGGTGCGCACTGCTGAGATGTCCCACAATGGGACGAAACGGTCGTCCAGTGCTTTCAGGTTTTCCATTGTGGTTTAGTTTCAACTGACTCATGATCTTAACCATTGAAATTTCTACAATTTCCATAAAACCCCTTCTGATACATACTACTTATGTCCATTAGTATAAACAGCATACATCAGAGATGTGTTTATATGTCATATTTAGGTTTACACTCGCGTTGACATTATTCATAAATGATAATGATACCTTATTTAATTCTCAGTATAAGTATTGTAAACTAAAAAAGAGTTACATTCAGTCGATAAGTCTTAGATCCAGGATATAATCATTTTGTTTTGATTAATTGTTATACATGTTAATTATGTATAGTTTTTCTTAATCATTATTCCCCCCCCCTTTAGTCCAAATGATGAAGATTCACCGAATTGCTTAGTTCGATTATCGAAATACCCTGTAAAATCAGGTTATTCAGGACATATCTGGCAAATTGGTAACCTAATTGTAGCAGCAATGAATGGTCCATATGGAGAATTTTTAAAATCTCTTATTCAAGGTAATTTGTTAATATTATGACTACTGCTATACATGAATATCAACCATTTTGATTAAAAAGTAACAACTTGATTAATATACTTTGTAATTTCACCTCTTACTCTAATGGGGAATACATGTTTGCATTTCAGAGATTACACTTTCTGTATAATTATGTTACATAGATCTATCGTGAATTAGTTTAAGTTAGATATGAACACCGTTAGATGCCAGCTCAGTGGTCTGGCGGTTAAGCGCTCGCGCGCGAGACGGATAGGTGGCGGGTTTAAATCACTCGGGGAACGGGATCGTGAATGCTCACTGATGAGAAGTCACGCAATAAAATGAAATGACTGTCCAGTACTTCCAGATTTTCAACGGTGGTCTAGCTTCAATTGACTCATAATTTCAACTATATCTGTATGCCATATAGAGAATCATCAACCAATATATCTGACCTTTTTAAATACTCTATGAATTTTCTATTATCTTTTTCAAACTGTTTCATATTGATGTTTGTTTAGTGATGTATTACGATCACAAGATTCATTCACTGAATAAGAACTTTTATGTAAATTCAGAGTCAAAGGAATAGCGTGTGTTTGTGTGTGTGTGTGTTCCGCATAGAAAGAGATGAATTAATTTAAAACTTATATGATCACTTAAAGTACACTGTACGACTATATTCAATGAATAAGAGGCATTAACAAGTTCAAATTAGGTTCTATACCCTTAAAGGAACTTCTTCATTACTGTATTAAAAGTAAGTAGGTCAAAATGTGATTTTGAGTAGAAAATTGTATTTCTGACGTTTCATGACTTCATGTACAATTCTTCTTTATTATTTCGGTCATTTATTTACTCTGAAGAAATATCTTATATTTAGTTACGAAACATCAGAAATACAATATTCTATTCATTTGGGATATTACGAAGAAAAAGGATATTTATTGTCACCTATAAGCGTTTAAATCGTTGTTGATGATTACTTGATGAACTCCAACTATAAAGATGTTATACCTACTAAGATAACTTAGCTCAATAGTCAATATCTTTATTGCATTCATATTTCAGTTTCAATCTATTTGTCATTCTATACACTATTGCATGTTAGCTGGGCATTAATTAATGAATTAATTAATTTTAACATATAGATATTGGTACAAGGAGGCACCAAATAGAGATATGCGCCACACAGACTTAATGGTCTGACCCACAAGGCAGTGGAGCATCGTGAGGAGATGCAGTCCCATGGTAACCGGTGACCAGCTATTGGTTCATACGCCATTTGTTCCCGCAGGATACTGGAGCCCATGTGCACCATCGAATTGGGATCCGGTTAAAGTCGATGCCGGACATTCGCTTTTCGTTCTCTCATTTTCGTAAACAACACCCCTGCCACGAGAAGGCAGTGAGTAGGACTTCTCTGGTAGAGGCTATATACGCGTGGCTATGTGAGAGCATTTGGAGAGGGAGAGCGAACTCTCCCCACTCTTGACCGTACCACGGCATTTGGGGGCATTAATAACATATATCGGCGAGACTGTAATTTAAAGACAAACCAATCAGATATAAGATAAAATTCTTCATTCATCCATTTAGTTAATGAGCGTTTTTAGTATTTTAGCTGATGTAATGAAAACCTTAAATCTAATTCCCAACCCTTAACCATTAATAGTAAATCTTAATTCTAGTTCCTTACCATGGTTTATAACCTTCATTTAGCCCTAGTTAGTATGTGGACATTCTCAAGGTCACTTTAACTTCACTCAATGATCGTCCATGAATATATAATCTCACCCATATACCATATTGCCATTTCAGACAAGGATGCCTTGGTACGGCCGAGAGTGAGGAGAGTCCGCTCTGCTTCTCCAAATGCTCTCACATGGCCACGCGTATATAGCCTCTACCAGGAAAGTCCTACTCACTGACTTCTCGTATCACAGGTGTGATTTAGGAAAATGAGAGGACGAAAAGCGAATGTCCGGCACCGGCTTTAACCGGATCCCAATTCGATGGTGCACATGGGCTCCAGTATCTCGAGGGAACAAATGGTGTATGAACCAATCGTTGGTCACTGATTACCATGGAACTGCATCTCCTCACGATGCTCCACTGCCTTGTGGATCAGACCTTTAGGTCAAAGGCTTGGGGTGTGGCCCCCTAGGTAAACCACCTGTTTCGGTTTGAGCAACCGCGCAGTATCATAGCACTCACATATATCAAATGAGATCTGTGTGGCGCATATCTCTATTTGGTGCCTCCTTGTACCAATATCTATGTGTTAAAATAAAAAACAATGATCTTTTGTTTGAAATTATTTGCATAGTAGTAGTGTTATACTATATCACTCCTAGAGACATACAATATTGAGTGGTATGTGATTACGATTACTATTTGTCATGATATTCTCATCTGAATGTTTTGATATGAACTTGAACCGACGTATATGTATAAATATATACCAAGATGTAGTTAGCATATGACTGACTAATTGATAACACTCAATATTTTAGATTCTTATTTTGTCTTTATGGAGTAGTTATATTTGTCTGAGCTATACAACCATTTCAAAGTTCAACCTTTCTATCTTCTTGAAATGTATTGGATCATTCAAATTGATTTCTGTCTGTTATTCTTAAGAGTTAATAGTAAATGGATATCATATCCTCGAGGTTTTGTGTAGTGAGTATAAGAAAACCTCAATGTCTCTCGTAATCACTAATCACTAATATTCTAAAATAAACTTTCTTTTTTATAGATTTACATCCGAATACTCAAAATCAATGGTCAGATTTTGTCAAAGATCTCAATGTGATCAACTCGGTAGAAGTTGCTGAGGTAAACAGAAGTGTTTCTTCTTTATTTATTTCTAATTCATTTGTACAATATACGTTTCAAATTCAACTTAAAGTTACACTGTTTAGTTGTGCAATAATGTTTCTTAACACTCTTCTATCTTATAGTATATACTTTACTTGTTAATAACAAGAAATCCCTTCAGTTGTCTATTCATAAGATTTTAAACCTCTAGTATCACATTCATTTGGTATTGTTTGTTTGCATCTTCCCATTGTTGTGTTACGACTGCAATTAATCAGTCTCTTATTAATATATGTGCATACTGTACGTATTACCTCGATATAGCCTTAACTTCCAAGCATCATATGCAAAGATGGATAGTGGCTAGCAATGGAATCCAGGACGCGTGTTTCGTCCCATTCGGGACTCGTAGATTTAAACTTCACCCCATTGCACTATTCAAACGGCTAACAGAACTCAGTAGGTAGGTGGATAGCGTTTCAAGCCTAACGGTACTGAGTTCGAGCCCCAGTGGGTACTTCAACCCTGAGATGTAGGTACATCCAGCTGACGAGTCCCAAATAAGACGAAACGCGCGTCCTGGATTCCACTGTTATCTACTATCTGTCTTTGCATATAACTCTAGTATCACAGTTGTAACAGTGACCATTTGTTTAGTCGTTAGTATTAATCGTTTTTGTATTGATCAAATTCTATATATTTTTCATTTCTATTCATAATTTTATTTATTGTGGAACTGTTTCTCCTATAGATTTCATTGTTCCTTTCTTTCTTTTGTTTTTTTTTTCTTCTAGACATCTCAATCTGCCATTGAAGGTCTTAATCATTCTGAGTAAGTTGACTTCTACTGTTATTTGCTAACTTTTTTTCATTTTTATTCATTACGTAACATAATGTTACAGTATTAATTTCAAAATATTATTATCTCCATAATGAATATTATTTGTTAATCATTTGTTCACCGGTTCGTAAGTAGCTTCTATGTCGTCTGTCATGTAAGGTAATATGATATTAAAAACACAGCTTCTCCTAAATGTCGGTGCTAGCCTGCTGTGTTGCTGAAGGAAAACTGACGAAATAGTTAGTCGTTGGTTTGATAGGATCGACTTACTCATGTGATCTTTTGGATCCTCTATTCATGAATCCATCAATCCACAATGGCTTCTGTAATGAAGGATCATTTGTCCTGTGTGCTCCGTTTGTATAATGTCAAGCTACATGTTTGCATGACCCATAGGAATATAAGGTTAACACTCCATGGCTGAACTACTACATGACTTGAACCTTGTAAAAACTATTACAATTTGTGTTGAATAACCAAGTAATTAGATCTTCATATTATACTGACACATCTAAATGCATGTGAAAATTGTTTTGTAAGATAGTAGTTTTTTCGAAAAGTCACTAATATCGACGCATCTACCACTTCCGATTGTAACAGTGAAGCTGTAAAGGAGAGTTCCCATTCGCGGTGTCTGACGAAATTTCAGCACGGATTCGGAAAGCTCTTTTGACTTTTGCCAACTTATGTCATCTATGGCGAAGGCGAGATATCATCTATCAATTAAGGGACGAGTATACTGCAGTTCGTTCCGTTCTACTATACGGCTGCGAAACGTGGCCATTAAGAGTAGAAGATACTTGTAAGCTACAAGTATTTGACTACAGATATCTTAGAACTATTGCTGGGATCATCGGGTAAGTAATAGCGACGTTAGATGCAGGGTATTAGAGAATGTTAGTAAATCACTTGATGAGGCTGTGAATCTTCATCGACTGAGATCGTCGAGCCACATGTTACGTATACCTGAACACCAATTACCACAACGCGCAACGCTAACCGGTGTTAGCGATAATTGGAAGAAAGTTGGTAGCGGCCAAACCAAAACGTGGCATCAGTGCTTGAAGTCACTAACTTCTAGTCTGAGTCATGTTGATAGATGCAGACTATCTGGTCGGGGTCCGCATGACTATCGTAACCAATGGTTGGAGACTCTTGGTGACATGGCTCAGAATCGATCACAATGGCGTCGGTGTATACACTCTCTGTCTTCGTTTAAACTAAGAGATTGAAATCACTTCAAATCTTTCTTTCTACCAACTAATTCTTTCTTCCTGTACTATATCCTTATATGCAATCTTTCTTATATATATTACCACCGCTGACCTAACCACTCCCATGAATCCGGTGTTCATCTTGTTGTGCTAATGCGGTAGTTCAACTTGTACCGATGCATGTATGTGTCTGGTCCTACGTTGTCACTGACTGACTGACTGTTTCCACTCGTTAGTTGAATATTATTATATATTTTGCTGTATACTTTGAACAATTCTTTAAACAAATATAAAAATTCAATCAGTCAATTCTTTCGATGTTCTATTTTTATTTCTTTTCATATATCCTTATCATCATCATATACAGTGTTCCATTTGTTCTGGCACCTGTTACATCATCAAATTTAATGCAAAATAAATTATTAGATCTAAATGGGAAATCATCATCATCATCGTCATCATCATATTTCTTAGATGATATTGATGATAATAATAAACATGATGAATATGATAAAACTAATCATGAATATCTTGCTTATCATCCAGTAATACCAGCATCTACAATAGTTAATCTACATCGACAAACTATTTTACAAAATTTTATGGATTCATGGTTAGATCCAGATGAAGAAACTGAACCTAATAGTGATCATAGTAATAGTATTTATAATAATAATAATAATAATCAATCTGAAGAAAAAGATCAAGTTAAAACATCTGATCTTCATATTGGGATTTCTGGACCTTTAAGAGAAATGTATTTTAATAATAATAATAATGGTGATAGCGATGATGATTATTTCAATGGTCATGATAATGAAGATGATGATAAAGATGAAAATGACAATTTGGAAAAAGATAAAGATAATATTCATAGTAAAGGTTATTTTAACAGTGACGAGGACGATGATGATGATGATGATGATGACGAAGAAGATCTTAAATCACCAATTCAAATTAAACAACAACATTCCAGTAAACAATCAAACATGAACCCTGATAGTTCAACATTTATATTGAATAATGATTCAAATAAATTAACTGAAGGTGAGTATGACTTGCATTGGATTATAAATTATTTAGCGGAAATAATTCTATATCTATTATCATTTGGTTAAAATTAACTAACTACAAACGTTTTTAACTATTGGTCGGCTGTAAGATATATGTTTCCAGTACTTCTCAACTTCTTGATACTACGTCCCTCGAAATCTTTCTAGATCCGCGCTTGTTGATAGCCTCATTTCGGGATGTATTACTTATTCCTTTCTCGTGGTAGCGTGTTTCCACAGATGTCAGGGTGTGATAGTGAGAATCCAACTCAATATTTGTATTTCATAACTCGATCTGTTAACATTCAGAGTGATTAGCTAAGACAATTAAACGTTCATATTGTTCTGATTTTTTTCCCTATTCATCTATCTCTAAAGTAACATGTCGTATTTCTGTCATGTAATTGACAGCTCTTTCCATTTGTTATTCATCCTTTTTATATCTGCTCCCATTTCCCGACGTAATGTATTCTTTGGCCTTCATCTTTCCCGCTTCCCTTCAGGATTCCAAATATAATCTATATTCAGTGGTATTAAGTAATCTGTCAACAGAAAATCCTCTGGACAATGATTATGTATAAGTTGTTATTCGTCCTTAAGATTTGGCTGTAATTTAAGAAGATCTGCATACTTGTGTTTGGGTCGAACTTTCATTATCAAAGCCAGTGGTAATAAGCTATGGCTCCAATGGAGGGGACCGATTTTCCCTGTGAGATTCAAACTTGCATCACCCAACGTCATGGTTTAATGATACATTGTTCTGAGCTTATGAAGCTGTTATTGATGTATACTTTATAGAAATAGAGAAATAAACTAAAAAAGAGTGTTAAACTCATTAAAAAAAAGGAGAGATTGATTGTACACAATGTCCCATCTGAAACTGTTGAATTACTCAAGGCTTTACAATGCAATTCACTAGTTTTTTTGTTCCAATCCCTCTTGTTGAACTGTATAGAGTTGATATAATATTTCTTTATTGATTTGTCCTATTGTTTTACATTCTTTTAAAAGTACTACTGTAGTGTCGGTTGATATGTTAAGCCCATATTATCTTGTTCTAGCTTTCGGATAGGCTAATCTATTCATTCTACTTGAGTCACATTGTGACCTTATTGATTATTCACCTATCAACCTTTAACTGTTCTCATATGAGCGTATATGTGTGTATACTTCTTATTCTACTCATCACATGTTTGTAACGTATTTCTACTACTACTGTGGTGTGTGCAACTTATGTAGATATAAGTAATATATGATGTTAGTCGTCAACAGAATGTCTGGCAGCAGAGAGATAAGAAGATCTAACAGTAAAGAATGAAAATGCAAGAACAATAAAATCTGAGACAATTGATGGATATTTTTCAAATCGAGCATTTATTATATGTTTGTTCGATTTTATTAACAAGTCCCTACCCTTGTTCTGTTCACTACACTACTACTACTAACAGTAGTAGTAGTAGTAAGTAATTGATTAAATCGAGTTGGCTCACATGTCTTCTCCACTGCGCATCATTTCACTCCCTTCGTCGCTTCCTATGTTACGTCTCTCTGATTATCTGTTCCGATATACACTAACGCGATCTAAGTCGATCATTATATACGAGGAATAATGATATGTCTATATCTCAATAGTAATCACTAACGATCAAACTGAAGTTCGATCCCGGATCACTAAAGTACTATGAATTTATAAATAATATCTGTTTGATTTGTTACTTTTATTCAATTCTATCATGATAATTATCTTGAAGGATTTTTATAATTATCTCTTCATGTTTCTTATCTCTTTCTATTGAATGTATAGTATCTTATATAACAACTTATAATAATGAATCTTCTATCATAATAAACAGTAATGATAATAATTTAAATAAACTATCTACAACAATACCTACTTCTACTCCTCCTCCTCCTCCTACCACTACTCACACTACTCATACTACTACCACTAATAGTAGTAGTATATCAGAAAATATTGCAAATACCTTCATAAATGGTAATGAAGAAACAGAACAATTCAAGCACAATACTTCATCAGAATCCATTGTAACATTATTAAATGCAAATTTTTTTAAAAAGTATGTTTGATTTTTTATTAAATATTGATTATTTATTATTATTATAATGATAAATCATTTATTTGATCTCGATCAATTATTGATTACATTTATTTGTTATTCTTTGATCGTGGATATTAATCAAAATCCATTCAAATAAATGATAAGTAATTAGCTTATTAATGACTTTATTCATGATATTCCTTATAGTTCTACTCATCAATCATTGTGGTGTTTGTTAGTGAGATATTCAGTTATTGTCAATAATCATAAAATATAGAACAACATATATAAGCGAACAATATTGTTTTCGATTAGATCCTCATCAGGCTTTACTCTAATATACAGTAATATTTATATGCATATACGAAATTATTAAACCAATCAAGGTAGTTTATAAATCAATGATAACGATGAATAAAACGATTACATAATATGTGAAAAGTACAAATAGATAGTGTGATGACAGGTGTACTAGTTTTGATAAGAATAATAAAGGCTCAACTCAATGTTACATAATCGGAAATAGGTCAATGATTAGAACAAATATCGATAATGAGATAACATTTATAAAAATTATTATAAGATGATGTAATGAGAAGTGTTCAGATAATTGAACCGTGAAAAAATAAAAATAAAATAGTACGAGGGGGTGAAGAAGAATTGATAAAACAAAGAGAAGGTTTGAAAAGAAAATAATAAATAAATTCATTTATTAAGGCCATTCATTATAAGAGAAACTTAGTCAAATGCTTAGCAAGTAGAGCTATGAAGATATGCTCTGTTGACACAATTGAAATGGAATTAGAGCAAATTCATAATAGGTTGATTGAAATGGGTTATCCACAGGGTTTCCTGAAGAAACACTTGAGTATAACAAACAAGAAGATAGTGACACTAACAGCTAATAAGAAACCTCTTTTCTTGAAGCTGCAATTCAATGGTGATGTAGCTGGTGATGTATTGCGTGATAGACTGACTAGAGCAGTCAAGAGAACGTTTAATGCTGCCAACCTCTGTCTATCGTATTCGACCCGATCTATGGTGATTCCCCAACTGAAGGACAAGTTACCTGGTTACGCCACTTCTTTGTGTATCTACGAATTCAGCTGCTCCTGCGGAGAAAGCTATATTGGGCGCACAACCAGGCAACTGAACCAAAGAGTTAGTGAACACCTCCCATCGTGGTTAGGAAAAGGTTACGTAAAGACAATACGCAGCTCAGTTCTTTCACACTTAATCGATAGTGGTCATGTAGTGGACAGAAATAAATCATTTAAAGTTATTTATCGTATTCCCACTAATTTTCCCTATGGTGTTCGATCTCGTCTCTTACACATAGCAGAAGCTACACGAATTCGAGCTAACAAGCCGAGTCTTTGTGTTCAGAAGAAATTTGTAACACCCTTATCTCTCCCTTGGCCTTAATAAATGAATTTATTTATTATTTTCTTTTCAAACCTTCTCTTTGTTCATAAATTCTTCTTCACCCCCTCGTACTATTTTATTTTTATTTTTTCACGGTTCAATTATCTGAACACTTCTCATTACATCATCTTATCATAATTTTTATAAATGTTATCTCACTATCTATATTTTTCTAATCATTGACCTATTTCCGATTATGTAACATTGAGTTGAGCCTTTATTATTCTTAGAAAAACTAATACACCTGTCATCACACTATCTATTTGTACTTTTCACATATTATGTAATCGTTTTATTCATCGTTATCATTGATTTATAAACTACCTTGATTGGTTTAATAATTTCGTATATGCATATAAATATTACAGTATATTAGAGTAAAGGCTGATGAGGATCTAATCGAAAACAATATTGTTCGCTTATATATGTTGTTCTAAATTTACATTATGGGAATATTTCAAATTTTGAAATCATAAAATAGTTATCAATAGTGTTATTCGTTGATTGCTACATTGTATCACAAATGCCCTGGTACGGCCGAGAGTGGGGAGAGTCCACTCTCCCTCTCCAAACGCTCTCACATGGTCATGCGTATATAGCCTCTGCCAGGGAAGTCCTACTCACTGCCTTCTCTTGGCGGGGGTGTTGTTCACGAAAATGAGGACGAAAAGCGAATGTCCGGCATCGGCTTTAACCGGATCCCAAATCAATGGTGCACATGGGCTGGCTCCAGTATCCTGAGGGAACAAATGGCGTATGAACCAATCGTTGGTCACCGGCTACCATGGGACTGCATCTCCTCACAATGCTCCACTGCCTTGTGGATCAGACGTTCAGGTCGAAGGCTCCGGGTGTGGTCCCCTAAGAAACCACGTTGTTCGGTTTGGGCAGCCGGGCAGTATCACAGCCCTCACACATATCCAATGAGATTTTTGTGGCGCATATGTATTTGGTACCTCCTAGTACCAATATCTATGTGTTAAAATAAATAAATAATAAATAAATCACAAACTGAATAAAGTCGGACATGGTGGATTAGTTAAACATTCTCTGAGATCTGTGCAATTTCGGTTCAACTCTTTGATCCAGGTCATAAGTAGTGAGTATTGTTAAGTTTCAATTCTAATATTATTGTGTTAAACATCAAATATTTTATTAGCATAAATTAATTCATAATGTTTCATTCTGTTTTTCTCTCTATGTTTGTTTGTTCTTGTGTGTATGTGTGTGAATTCTCATTACTCATTGCTATGTTTTAACATCATTATTTGTGTGTTGTTTCATTGGTGATGGGGGGACCTGTTGGGGGGTGGGGTGGGGAAATGATCATATGATGGTTTGATAACTTTTTATTATTCATATCACTTTGGAAATTATCACCTATTTATGTTATTTCATTACTTTTATACTTGGAATCTCAATTGTTCTCACTCTCACTCTTTCTGTGGGTGTGTTGTTGTGTATGTCTCATTTGATGATGAGTAGACAATTCAAATTGTGTACAATTATCTAAATTTATTTACATTCATTTCATTTACTTCATATTCTTCCTTTCACTCTTTGTCTCTCCCTCTCTCACTCGCTCGCTCCCTTTCACTCACTGTCGCTCTTTCGTTTACAGTCTCTGTGTAGATCTCTACTAATATTTGTGACAGTTGATGTTCCACAATTTTCAAAATGTGCACTTTTTTTTTAAAATTAGCACTTGAGGAGGATAAAAAAAAAAGAAGAAAATAAAGGAGAACACAACATGTACACCGTTTCTTTTTGTGTTTTCATGAAAGTGTATACATCTCAAATGATTTAATTACTATCTTATTTTATTAATGTTTATGTTTCCTTTTTTGTCTTCTTATTGTTTAAGTTATTCTTGGTGAGACTACCGTTTATCGATGACCTTTAAGCAATGCTAAACTGATCTTGAGAGTATTCACCTACTGACTAGAACCACATGAATGTGATTCACCAATGTGAGCATTTCGAATGATGATTTATAGTTCATGGTTAAGGTTGTTCATCATGAACTAACATTAGTTATAATTATCAAGAATCAATGAATTTCATGCCAAAATCCGAAACGGGTTTTCTTATCCCTGATTAATTTGTCCATATATTATAATCTTTTGCTTGATCTTCTATTCACAACGGTTCCATCATTTGTATAATCTCCATTGTTGTTCATATTTTCTTTTCAATATGAACTGAGAAATATCAATAATATGAATATTGTGTGCTTTCATCTAATCCAATCATTATCACTTTTTGTTTTCTATGTATAAATGAAAGATTCATGATAGAGTGTATACTACTAACAAAGATTTTAAATAGTAGTATGATATATGTGTTATTCCATTTCATTTAATTCATTGAAATTCATCATGGTGTGACAGTCTTTCATCAACATATAAATAATGTTTAACCCTTATGTTCTCTTTTTTTTTCTCCTTAAATTGTGTGTTTAAACAATAGTTTCTTTTGATATAATGAAAACAAACAAATGACTTTTCATGTAAACAAACATTAACTAACTAACTAAATAAATAAACGAACCAACCAACCAACAACAAAAACTCTACAAAGCATTGGTCACATATAGTTTCATCCTTTAATTTAGATCTTTCAAAACAGTATGGGTCTTAATGTTAAAAGATTGTTTATCATAGTGTATCTATTATGGTAAAGTTTTGTGATTCAATCAACAGTAATACCATAAGGCAGTGGTATAACATCAAAAGATACAGTTCCATGGTAGCCAGTGACCGATAGTAGGTTCATACGTCATTTGTTCTATCAGGATCCTAGAGCCTATGTTTTCACCATTGGTTTGGAATCAGGGTTTTCCAACTCCCATAGGTGAACTCTATGTATCTACCAACCCGGTTAAAGCGTTGTACATTCGGTTTTCATCCTCTCGTTTTCGCAAATAACACCCATGGTACGAGAGGGCATTGAGTAGGATTTCCCTGATAGTGATTGTATGCACGTGGTAATGTGCGAGCATGTCTAGAGAGATAGCTGAATTTCGGCCGTACCAGAGCATTCAGGGGGCATCTTATAAAATATATAATGATCTTTATATTCATTAAATATTAAACTGGTTCATTGAGATTACTATCTCTACTGGTTAAAATTATTTGCTTTTAACAAGTAAGTTTTAGCATGAAACCTTGGTGTAACTAATTCAATTTGAATAACCGGATAGTATTACACTAACCCCATATGATAACGATGTCATTCAAAGCCTAATATATGAAATATATATATTCGTACTAAATGAGTTGTTAAAAGAATTTCATTAATACCATGAAGCATACTTCATAAATTAACAGGAACAACAACGGTAAACTCTTCCTAAGTGATCAATACTATCGATGACTAGTGTCTGCTACCATTTTACTCGTTTAATACAGGTTTTCTTCTGTGCAGCATCTATTTTACGTCGATACTGATTCATACCATTGAAAACTGTAATCACAATAAACCTGTCACACATAACTATCTTTTCTATTCTATGTAATCTGTGAATACTTGCATTCATATAGCTAATCTACATTTGAATAGTCATATTCATAATAATAACGAAACATTTTCTGGTGACTGCCTCCAAATGCTTTGGTACGACCAAGAGTGGGGAGATTCCGCTCTCCCTCTCGAAATGCTCTCACATGGCCACGCGTATACAGCCGTTGCCAGGGAAGTCCTACTCACTACCTTCTCGTGGCAGGGGTGTTGTCTACGAAAATGAGAGGACGAAGAGCGAATGTCCGGCATCGGCTATAACCGGATCCCAGAACCAATGGTGCACATGGAATCCAGTATCCTGAAGGAACAAATGGCAAATGAACCAATCGTTGGTCACCGGCTACCATGAGACTACATCTGCTTACGATGCTCCATTGCTCGGGGTGTGGCTCTCTAATAAAACCGTATGATTCGGTTTGAGCACTCGGGCAGTATCACAGCCCTCACTCATATCAAATTAGGTCTGTGTGGCTCATATGTATTTGGTGCCTCCTTGTACCAATATCTATGTGTTAAAATAAATAAATAATGTCTAGTGACTAATCGCATCATACTTATGTTCATTATAGAATTGTATTTAAATGTATATTCTTAAATCCATACATTCAATCTTAATCCATATCACTATGTCATTTTTACAGTTTCTTAGTCTATTTATGACAGTATTTTCAATACTAACTTATGTCTGTTACCTCTCGTGGAAGAGCATAGGCTGCAGCTAACTTGAGTAAATCAGTTCAGGTATTTTGTTGAGAATAATGTTAAGTATATGCAAACCAGTATTTGACAAATGAACTGAAACCATACAGTAGCTATTGGAATTATAGAATTAATCAGATGGTATCAAAATATATAAAGTTTAACTCTCCATTATATATGAGGCTATTGCGTGTCCCTATAACATATTTCTTTTTTAGTTAATTCCTTCAAACTACTTGCGAGTAGTATATATATATATGTATTTTTAATAACTTTTCTTATCACTACGATTTTAATTTTTTATTTGAGATCATAAACCGATTGATTTTAGACCATCATTGAAAACCTGAAAGCGCTAGACGACCGTTTTGTCCTATTGTGAGATTCCTCATCAATATATATCCACAATCGGTTCATAATCTCAATCAGAAAGATTAATAATCTCCACAACTGTATACTAATAATATTAATTTTTATCTAATTCTATATTTCAGGTGAATATCTCTATTGTCTTACATCATTTCATATGAGATTCATGTGTATCCATGTAAAAATATGTTATGTAACAAGTAATGTTTTTTCTTGTCTGTTCCTTCTTCAAAAGAAAATAGAAAAAGGAGAAAACACACACATTACAATTCGTCGTTGATGATCACAATGAGTTCTGTTAGTATTAAATGTTGTTGTTGTTGTTCTTCTTCTTCTTCTTCTTCTTCTTCTCATTTATCCCATTTTAACAAAACCAAATTGTAGACATTAAAATCTGATTTACCCTATCCTATTTATTATTTACATAAATGAATAAACATACCCAGATACTCATTCATAGTTATTGATCTAAAACAAAAGAGTTTATGTTTACATTTTCTATACATTGTACTGTATGTGGATATGGATATGGATATTGGATATATATTTATATATAGTAATTGTTTAGTGTTTCAAACATCCTCTCTCTCACTCCCACTCTCACTCTCTCGCTCTCCCTCTCTTTGATTCCATATATGTTACATAATCTTTCTTCTTCTTATTATTATTGTAATTGTTAAATAAAACTACCTACCAATTGTGTGTGTGTGTGTGTTTATTCTTTCTATTATAATGATTCTCATCTATATGTGTAGATTTTGATCATTCGTTTTCTTTTCTTTGTTTTTCTTTTTTAAACAATACACTTCATTCATAATCCATTTCATTGAGTATCCAATGTAGTTACCTCATGCAATAAGGTAATCCAAAGAACAGGAAGATGAGGATGATGATGATGATGAAAGTTGTAAACTAAACTAGAATTTGTATTTAGGCTGTTTTTATTCATGGTTATTCTTATAACTTGTATAACATAAATTATGTTTTTAATCATTTGTTCTTTCTCTCTCTCTGTGTGTATTTGTGTATGGGTCTATTTAGATATCAGTTTAATTTATTGTTATAAGATGATAAGAAGGTGAATAGTAACGGTTTCTCTTTATTTTTCCTCTCGTTTTATTCCATGGACTAATTTGTCGTTGGTTTTATATATATTGAGTGTTGCATATATTTCGTGGGTCGATGAGGTAGGGTGGTGTGTGTGTGTGTGTACATTGATGATGTCACAAATGAAATGTATGTTTGTTACATAATTTATGATAAATATACTGTAATTATAAATTATTCAATAACCATGTAAACAATAATAATAATAATAATAATAATCGTAATGATAGGTATGGGTTACTTTTTATTTTGGTGGTTGTCCTATTCATTTGCCGATATACACGCTTTATCTGATATGAGCTTAACCTGCTATGTCAATCATAAGAGTAAGAATGAATAGGGAGCTATATTCGCATGCTGAATCGAAGTATATATATATATATATATATATATATATGTCCCTCGATCATTATCGTCCATCCATCAACACATCTCAGCCAACATTTTCGTTGAATTAACATATGTACTTTAGGTGTAATATTTCTTTGTTGGTTCAGAATAGCATACAATCTACTATTATATTACATAATAAATAAGAAAGAGAATACTACGAAAGAGGACCTATAGAAATTCTACTTATATATCAAATACAAGTTTATATGCTTAAATTATAAAGCAAACTAGGCAAGTGTTTCAGTCATCAGGTCAGTTCTACACTGGCCTATAATACTTAATAGTTATGAAATATCAAGGTGTTCAAAATATCTGAAAGTTATGTATCTAAGTCGATTCAATGGATTTCACATCATAATTATATAGAATTTATATTATCATCGATGGATTTCTTTTCCTTGAGAGGTGATCATCATTTATTTATTTATTTATTTATTTGAACATATAAATATTGGTACAAAGAGGCATTGAATACATATGTGCCATACAATTCACTTGATTTTTGTATGACCTGTGATATTGCCCTGGTGGCTTGATCGAAGCTGGTGACTTTCTTAGGGGAGCCACATACACAGAGCCCTCGACCTAAAAGTATGGTCCACAAGGCAGTGGTAGTCGGTGACCAACGATTGGTTTATGTGCCATTTGTTCCATCAGGATAATGGAACCCATGTACACCATTACTTTGGAATCAGGGTTTCCAACTCCCCTAGGTGGATCCTTCATATTTAACAACCCGGTTAAAGCGCCGGACATTGGCTACGGGTCCTCTCAATTTCGTAAAGAACAGCCCCGCCACGAGAAGTAATTCAGTAAAACTTCCCTGACAGTGGCTGTGAGAGCATTTGTAGAGCGTGAGATAACTCTCACCGTACCAGAGCATTGGTTTTAGGCTTACTAGAGGCTTTTGTTCTCGAACTAAACTCAATTCACAATTACTCATTGAATTTTAGGACAATAATGAAAGTACCGCTATTCAGAGATTCTGAATCCGAAAGTCAATTTATATAGAATATATATATAGTGTAGCTCAATGGTAAAGACCTTCTCGGTTGTCTCAGTTTTCCTTTGTACATTGCTCCCGAATCCCTAACAAGAAATCATTATCTTTCGAATCATACGCGTACCTATATTGTGTCAATTATGTCTGAAAAGTAATCTGAAGTTCCTTCTTCAAAATACAAACTTTAAACTTGTTGGTATTCTGTAACAACAATCACATCCTATGCGAATTGCTTCGATATTCCCTTACGAGTTACAAGCTTTATAAACAAAAATGGATAGTGGATTCTTAAATTCCACTTCTATTCATTATCCATTTTTAAGTAAAGATGGTTAGTGGCTAGCAGTGGAATCCAGGACTCATGTTTCGTCCTATTTAGGACTCGTCAGCTCGATCTACCTACATCCCAGAGTTGATGTTCACTCCAAGACTCGACTGCAATACCATTCGCTTCAAACACCAAATGAATTTAAAATTCACCCCATCGCACAAGCACTGCTAGCTACTAACTCTCTTTGCTTAAAAAACTTGCGACTTAAGGTTATATCGAAGCAATCCGCATAGGATGTACGTACATATGCCAACATGAGACTGATCAATGAGAAGATACAAATAAAACGACACCAAGCCAATTATCCATCTTTTCTGTTAGTCAGTCAGTCAGCTGCAACGTATGACCAGGCACATATATGCATCGGTCCAACTTGCCATACCGCATTAGCACAACAAGATGAACACCGGATTCATACAAGTAGTCACATCAAAGGAAGTAGTATATAAAAGAAAGATTGTGTATAAGGATATAATACAGGAAGAAAGAATTAGTTCGTAGAAAGAAAGATATGAAGCGATGTTAATCTCTATGCTTAAAGGGAGACAGAGAATGTATACAACTACTCCATTGTGATCGATTCTGAGCCATGTCACCACTCTATCTATCCTTATTTTTCGACTTATACAGCAGCTCGCCTATGGTGGACATTCGGCTCTATCTAAACGTTTACGAGTCACTGCCTGGTTGAAAATTGTATGTTACCATCGAATAAGAGTACTGAAGCAGTCTTTCTGAAACCACGCGCACCAATCAAACTGGCTGCCTTCAACGTTCGCACACTTATGCAGGTCGGACAACAGATATGGCTGGCTATGTCTTTGGAAAATCTTAATATCGACGTTTGTTGTCTATCCGAGACCCGTATTCAAGACTCTGGTGAAGTACTACAAATTCGCTCTCCATCTGTCACTTCAAAAAGCTTGTTTTATGTGCGTTTATCCAGAGAACCTGTGGCATCTTCGTCTGGTCTTGCTGGCGTTGGTGTCGCACTAAGCGCAAGAGCTGAGGCAGCACTAATCGATTGGTTCCCCATTAACAGTCGGCTATGTTCTGTTAGATTAGAAAGTTCCATCAAAGTGAGAAGAAATCGGCGTAAGAAACGATGTCTTTTCGTCGTCTCCGCCTATGCCCCGACAGATTGCAGCCCGGATGCAATCAAGGACGACTTCTACCATCAGCTAACTGTCCTTCTCCAGAAAGTGCGTTCGACAGATATTGTAGTACTAGCTGGAGACTTGAATGCTCAGGTCGGGCGTCTAGGCACAGAAGAGAGTCGTTTAGGTGGCCGATGGGGACTCGTTGGTCGCAGGACGGGGAACGTCTACTGCAACTATGCACAGACCACAACCTGTTTCTGGCTAGCACTAACTTTCGGCACAGTCATCGCCGATGTGCCACCTGGCGTCCCCCTTCTGCATCTCAAGCCTGGACTGAGATTGATCACATCGCGATCAGCTACCGCTGGCGTGGTTGTGTACAAGACTCCCGCTCCTTTTGGCTTACCTATCTGGACTCTGATCATGCCCTGGTCTGCGCCAATCTTACCTTACTTTTCAGTGGCCAACGGAGTGACCGCCACCAAAGGATTGATGTTAGCAAGCTGGTTGCAACTTCTGTTGCTAGTAAGTACCGAACCGAGCTAGCTTCTAGGCTAGCCACTATTCCACCGAAAAGTATAGATGAGCATTGGTTGCAATTGCATGACGCCATGAAAATGGCGGGTCAAGTCAGCTGTGGGATTGCGAAACGTCCCGCTTACAAGCACTGGGTTTCTTCTGGTTCCTTACAACTGATTGAAGCCCGTCGGTCTACTCCGGGTGACCGTGAGTTTGAACACAAACGACGACTGTTACGTAATGAAATCAGGCAAAGCTTGCGTAAGGACCGAGAAGCCTGGTGGTCGGAGCGTGCCAGTGAGTTGGAAGCAGCAGCTGCATCTGGTAATTACCGGAAGCTCTTCCAACTCTGGCAGCAAGAAGTCTGGTGTGAGCGAAACAATCTGCGAGGATGATGGAACGCCATTCACCAACATCCATCGACGTCTCGGACGATGGGCAGAATTTTTCGAAGGGCAGTTCAACTGGCCTGCTGCTCCGGCAACATCGGTCAGACTGTCCTGCCCTCCATGGCCGGTGACGACTGATCCACCAAATGAGGCGGAAGTCCGCAAGGAACTCCAACTCTTGAAACGCTACAAATCACCGGGCCCAGACGACTTACCTCTGGCTCGTTTTAAAGATGGTGGTGACTTCCTGACTAAGGGACTGACGACGTTGTTTACAAAGGTCTAGGAACTACAGAGTGTACCAACGTCATGGAATGAGTCGATAGTTGTCCCTATCTTTAAAAAGGGTTCACGTCGTTCCTGTAACAGCTATCGGGGGAGAAGTCTACTTCCGATTGCGTCCAAGCTATTGGCTTCCGTCATACTTCGTAGGTTGTTCAAAACCCGAGAAGGATCGACTCGCGAGGAGCAGGCCGCTCTGCGTTCTGGTCGAGGATTTGTTGATCATATCTTCACCCTCCGCCAAGTGTTAGAACACCGCCATACTTATCATAGGCCAACAATCGTAGTGTTACTTGACATCAGGGCTGCCTTCGATTCGTTGGATAGGACTGTTCTCTGGGATTGTCTATTGAAGAAGTGTGTGCCTGAGAAGTTTATTAACATCCTTAAAACCCTATACACAAACACCTCAGGCAGAGTGAGGGCATACAACCACCTTTCTCCATTGTTCCATTCAAGCAGTGGGGTTAGACAGGGTTTGCCCAATCTCACCATTCCTCTTCAACTTTGCCATCGATGACATTCTGGAAACAGCTCTGATGGATGTAAGTAATGGTGGTGTGGATCTGTTGCCAGGAGAAAGACTTCTCGACCTTGAGTATGCGGATGATATTGTCTTACTGTGCGAGAATGCCCAAGCCATGCAATCCGCACTTAATCAGTTGGCAATCAGTGTCCGTAGGTATGGTATGTGCTTTGCACCCTCGAAGTGCAAAGTACTTCTACATGACTGGCAGGATTCTAATCCTGTATTCACTCTGGATGGTGAGCAGATTGAAGTAGTCGAGAAGTTCGTGTATCTAGGTAGCTGCATAAGTGCTGGTGGTGGTGTGAGTGATGAGATCAATGCTCGTATAGTGAAAGCCAGAGCGGCTTATGCCAATCTGGGCCATCTTTGGCGCCTTCGTGATGTTATTCTGGCTGTAAAAGTTCGGATCTACAACGCGTCGGTGAGAGCAGTTTTGCTCTATGCTTGTGAAACCTGGCCTCTCCGAGTTGAGGATGTTAGACAACTCTCTGTGTTCGATCATCGTTGTCTCCGAAGGATTGCTGACATTCAGTGGCAACACCATGTTAGTAATGCAGAGGTTCGGCATCGTGTGTTCGGGCACAGAGACGAAAATCCAATTGGTGTCACCATCTTGAAACACCGACTTCGGTGGCTTGGACATGTTCTACGAATGTCGTCCCAGAGAATTCCACGTCGTGCACTATTTGCCGACCCTGGGACTGGTTGGAAAAAACGGAGAGGTGGTCAGTGTATGACATGGTGTCGTGGTATGAAAGAAAGCTGTAAAGGGCTAGCTTCTGTTGGTCCTTCACTACTCCCTGTCTGGGGTCCGAGAGATGGTGTAACACAGTGGCTAGAGACGTTATCAGATATGGCTCAGAATAGAAGCCAGTGGCGATCCTGTTGTAACCTTCTTTTACTTTCTTTATAAAAAGTGGCTGTATCCTCCTTAAATGTAAGATTTCTTCTGAGTGTACCTTTTCTTCTCCCCCCATTATTGTTTTTTTTTAATTTTATAATCCCCTACGTTCTTTACTTTTTTTTCCCTTCTTAAATTCTCATTGTTTTGTGTGGCGCATATATGTTTGATGCCCCGCTGTACCAATATTTTTGTGTTCAAATTAATAATAATAAATAAACATGTCACCAAGAGTCTCCAACCATTGGTTACGATAGTTACGCGGACCACAACCAAGTAGTCTGCATCTACCAACATGGCTCAAACCAGAAGTTATTATCTTCAAGAACTGATGCCACTTTTTGGTTTGGCCGCCCTCAACTTTCTTCCGATTATCGCTAACACCGGTTAGCGTTGCGCGTCGTGGTAATTGGTGTTCAGGCATACGCAACACGTGGCCCAACCATCTCAGTCGTTGAAGATTCATAGCCTCATCAACTGATTTACTAACATTCTCTAATACCCTGCGTCTAACCTCACTATTACTTACCCGGTGATCCCAGCAGATGTGAGCAATATTTCTAAGGCATCTGTGGTCAAATACTTGTAGCTTACGAGTATCTTCTACTCTTAATGGCCACGTTTCGCAGCCGTCAAGTAGAACAGAACGAACTTCCGCGCAGTATACTTTTCCCTTAATTGATAGACGGATATCTCGCCTTCGCCATAGGTGACGTTAGTTGGCGAAAGCCAAACGAGCTTTTTGAATCCATGCTGAGATTTCGTCAGACACCAACCCATTAGGGCTGATCAGACTTCCTAGATAAGTGAAATTGTCAACGGGTTCGACTACTTCACTTCCTATCGTTTAGTTCAGGTGTTGACGCTGTTAGAACAAATTATGTTATTGAATTCTTTTTTATTTATATACAAAAGAAAATTTTTGTTGTCAAGGTACATTTTGAATGTTTGCATAGTTACAATCTCATCAATATAATTTGCACCATGTTTAAATAAACGAATAACGAAAATCGAAATTATAATTTCTGATACATCGAAATATAATTGTCAATTACATTGTTTGTTTATTTGTTTTCATGATGAATAGACCTAGTCATTTCTTTCTCTTAATAGATGATCAAAACAACATGATTCATTTGGATTAGCAACATGTTCTCTCTCTCTCTCTGTCTCTTTGTGTAAGTGTGTGTGTGTGTGTATTCGTTCCCTGTAGTTTATTCATTTCTATTCATTATTAATATGAAATGATTTAAATCAATGTAATACAACCAACCAATTTTGATGTGTTTTGTTTTGTTCTGTTCTGTTCTGTTTGTATGTTTAAAGGTTTCCATCAGTTTGCAATATCTAATTTACACTGATAAATTTATATACAATTAGTTATAATGTATTAATTAATATTAGAAGATGATCTGTTAATGAATCATTAGATCATTCTATAGATAGAATTCAATTGTTATTTGGATCCATTCATAGAATAAATAGTTTCTTTATTATACAGATTAGTTAATGTTTCACTGGTTATTGCTATATTGGATCCATATATATATATATTGACATGTATACACATCTTCTCACACACTCACCTGCATTCAATAGACAGTTATGTAGAGGATAGTATACACAGATGTACATATATGAAGGAGATAAATTCGGTAAGATGGAATAGACTTTGTCCATCTTGAAGGAATTATTCCACACATATTTATGGAGGATGAAATCTGTTCGGTAAAAAGAAACGTGTTTTACTGAACTAATATATTTGAATGAATTGTTAATAACTAGTTACTAAATATTAATCTATACAGAATGATTTCTTAGTATATGATTGTGAAGATTATTAGGTTTTTGATTGAGATCATGAATTGAATTCTCTGAGAAACCGTGATCAGTGGAGCCAATCCGTTTTGGGTAGAGATAGATATCTACTTCAGTATAATGGAAGACGGTTGCACGATTTCGCGGATTGGTTGAGGTTAGACAATAACACTGTTGGATGCCGACCGGCTCAGCGTTCGCGCGCGAGACTGATAAGTCCTAGGTTCGAATCTCGCGAGTCTGGATCGTGAATGCGCACTACTGAAGAGTCACACAATAGGACGAAACGGCTGTCCAGTGCTTCCAGGTTTTCAATGTTGGTCTAACATCAATCGATTCATGATCTCAATAAAAAAATGGTTTATATCATATTCCTTGATCCATAAAGCACTAAATGCTCACCCTACTGTTGAATCTAAATGTCCGTAGTGTGTTCAGTATCTCAGTAAAGCCTGTTTCAAGATTACTAGGATATGTAGTGGACAAGAACATGAGAATACAGAATCTCTCAGTAAGATCTAAGAACCTTACAGTAAATAGTTCACTTGCAAAATTTCAAACAAATTGTTTCAGACTTTATTGTTCTTTCGTTTCTACATCAATCACACTTTGTGTCTCGTTCTCTTTTCTTTAATCTTCTTTACCTTCTTCATTTCACTTTCAATTGATGATACATACTACTTATATCTGTTGACATCAGTAGCTTACACTACAATTATTATTGGAAAGATTTTATTTTAACAATATATATTTCGAGAAAGAACTTTCAATTCCAAGAATACCACAAGCGTCCTAGTTTAAAATCTTGTGTTGTTGTCTTTAGTTTCGTATGCATAATCACGTGAGTTCTTCAATTTAAACAATACAGGTAATACGATGTACCTGTCTAACACTCCTGGTGTTCTGACCGTCGAGTTGACAATAATCGAATTGTGTATAGACTATTAAATGTTCTGAGTATACAGTAACTGTGTCAGCGGGCGTAAGACAATTCCTAATAGGTGTCACTTGCATCCATGGTGTTTGGGGGGGGTCATCTAAACCAATTGGTTTATCTGGGAAACATAAACATGAAACGAACCAACAGGGCTGAAATAAAGGCTAATTTGTATGTATCATCGATCGAAAGTAAAATGTCATGAGGCATAAGGTCTAAGAGAACGACAACAGTGAATGATTGATATGGAAAAGAAGAAGAAACTACGTCTGAGACAACTGATTGACATTATTCGAATGAAGTATTTACTGTATGGTTCTCAGATTTTACTAAGAGATGCTGGAATTTTGTGTTCACCACCATGATAAACTTGGAAGCATTGGACGGCCGCTTTGTCCTGTTGTGAGACTTCTCAGAAGTGCACATCCAGGATCCCTCACCTCGAGATTCAAACTCAGGACCTATCAGTCTCGCGAGCGAACGCTTAACCTCTAGACCACTGAGTTCCTTGGCATCCAGTGATCCTATTGTCTGACTTTAATCAATCCACGAAATCAAGCGACACGTCCACCACTGTCTTCCATGATTTACTATTTCATAGCACACCTGGTTGATATCATCCCAGTTACTGGTATGTAAATAGTTTGTAAGCCTCTAATAGTTATCTAGTACATTCAAATACTTTAGCTCAAATTACTTTGTAGAAAAGCTTCAATTCAGATATGATAAGGTTGTTCCTATTACAATGATCAGATAAACAACTCTATACATACAAAAAACTAAATAAGATTTACCTGGTGAATTGTCGACTATCTTGATGTACATCCATTTCAGCCATTTTGTAATCATTTAACTCTCTACGAATTTGTGCCTAAATTCGATATAATTGACGTAAAACATATTTTATCAGAAAGGCATTATGGTAAGTTATTAGTTGAATTCTTAAATCAATTAAAACTAAGACCTCTATGGAAAATCTGGAAGCATTGGACGGCTATTTCATCTTAGTATGGGACACTTAAGCAGTGCACATGTCATACTAGAATGAAACGTCTATCCAGTGCTTCTGAGTTTACCATAGGTATATGCTGTGGTCGTTGGATTTACTTACTTACTTACTTACGCCTGTTGCCCTTAATAGGCCGCTTATCAGCATTCTACAACCCACTCTGTCCTGGGCCTTTCTATCGGTCGTTGGGTTACTTACTTACTTACGCTTGTTACTCCTGATGGAGCATAGGTCGCCGACCAGCATTCTTTAACCCACTCTTTCCTGGGCTTTTTTTCTAGTTCCATTCGGTTCTTGTTCATTTTTCTCATGTCTATCTCCATTTCCCGGCGTAACGTGTTCTTTGGCTTTGAGGATTCCATGTGAGAGCTTGTCCAGCGGTCCTTCCTCCGATGAGATTTGGTTTGTTCTCTCCCATAGTAGGTTGTTGCTGGTCAACGGATCCGAAATATTTTGCGTAGATAACTGTTAACAAACACTTGTATCTTCTGAATGATGGCTTTTGTAGTTCTCCAGGTTTCCGCCCCATTACAGTAGAACTTTCTTGACATTTGTATTGAAAATCCTGACCTTAGTGTTGGTTGACAGACAGTTGTTGTGAGTTCCAGATGTCCTTCAATTGTAAATATGCTGCTCTTGCTTTGCCGATCCGTGCTTTCACATCTGCATCAGATCCACCGTGTTCATCGTTGGGTTATTGAACATAAAATTCATATTATCTAGCAATATTTTTATTAGCATGCAGATACTAAGCAGTATCAATACTGCTTTTAGTAGATGGATTCATTGCCTAACTTGTTTATAAGTATGGATAACCTGACAACTATCTCCAAGTGCCTGTTATTTGTCAATATGTGATTTACATGTTAGTTTGATCACTTTTTGTTTTAAAACACAACTGTAGTTTATTATTAATATGGTTGACCCATCAAAACAATCCATTCAATGTACTACAAATTTTGATTACTAGTGAATAAAACAAACGATGAACCGGACACTGTCATGAACCAAGACTCAAGTGGGGATGACTAGGCATATTACAGAATCTCTTGATAAAATATCTGAATCATACATTGAATGCTTCATTTGCTCATTTCCATCATCTTCCCTTCATATTCTGAATGATTCTTTCAAGTTATACTTCATTTTTATTTCTGTTACTGTTTTCTCGTCATTTTGATCTTCTCAGCCTTCTGATACCAAAGTTTCTACTTCCTATTTAGTGTCACATACTACTTATATCTGTTCACATAAGTAGTATACACATTAAAATGGAAACTTGACAGTTGAAATAGTTTTAAGCACAGATGGATAGTGGCTAGTAGTGGAATCCAGTTTGACTCGCGCTTTGTCCTATTCGGGATTCGTCAGCTGGATTTACTTGCATCTTAGAGTTGATGTTCATTCTGAGACTCAAATTGCTTTGAAATATTATACTTTAGACTGGTAATTTTATCAGATAACATCAGTGTATAGATTAATTCTCAAATTTCCTGTAATTCTTTATGCTACTTACTTACTTACTTTCGCCTGTTACTCCTCGTGAAGGAGCATAGGCCGCTTACCAGCATTCTCCATCCAACCCTGTCCTGGGCAATCCTTTCCAGCTCTTTCTTTATGCTAAGTATAACTCAATCATTGGAATAATGAAATAAGTATTCAGGGCGGTAGTGAACAGTGATTCCTCAAATGGACAGTTTCTTCCCAACAACCATTGTGGTATATGCTACTGTTATTGACAGATATAAGTAGTATATATCATCAATTGAAAGTGAAATTTCTAAAGACAGAAAGTTAAAAAGATCTTTACTTACTTTATCTTTTGGTGTTAATCTTATCCATGGTTTATCAGCACTTCGATCACATGGTTCCAATTCTTGTACTTCAACGAATTCAGAAAATCTTAACATAAACATTTCTTGTGTCATACCTTCTGTATAAATAGATGACTTTCAACAAAAAAAAAAGAATGAGAATACAAAGGAACGGTGATTATATTTGATTTAAATTAGATCAGATATGTGGTTGTTGACTAGAAGTTAATTATTGGATGAATATGTACTTCCACAATTGATCGATCACTGGGTGGTGATCGATATCCTATGTATCAAGTCCTTCTTAGTGCAGATCGAATGCTATCGACCATGTTGCAATGTGGCTATTAGTCTAAATGACTCGACATTGTATTCACTATGTTGAGATAAGATAGTGGTTGGAAATAGTCAACAGGGAACCCTGGATACGAATAAAATGTACAAATACTTATTCATATATAGATAAATATCACTTTCATCCTTAAGAATATTGACGTATTTCTTAGCCAATGTAATACACTTGTCCTTTAGGTCAATTCTAATGGATATCAATTAACCTTCTCATTAGGTTACTTCGGTTACTTACTAACCAATTTCTTGGTTCACATGAAGATATATCCATAACTAGTCTAATATTAAATAACATTCAACTACCTTATAGTTAATTGCATCATCAATCTACTTGTATAGTTGATGTTAGTCAGTCAGTCATCTACAACGTAGGACTAGGCGCATATATCCATCGGTCCAAGTTGCCATACCGCATTAGCACAACAACATGAACACCAAATTCATCGAAGTATTTAATTCAATGGTAGTAATATATAGAAGAAAGATTGCATATAAGGAGATAGTACAGGAAGAAAGAATTAATTCGTAGAAAGAAAGATATGAAGCGATTTTAATCTCTTAGTTTAAAGGAAGACAGAGAGTGCATACACTGACGCCATTGTGATCGTTTCTAAGCCATGTCACCAAGAGTCTCCAACCATTGGTGACGATAGTCACGCGGACCCAAACCAGGCAGTCTACATCTACTAACAGTTGATGTTAGTACAACAATTGTTCAAGATAAAACTTCTTTACTTCATTGAACATTATCCTTAAGTCATTGTCTACATCGATTTCATATTGAGAATAAAAGAGAATTGAAGTGAACTTACAGTTCTAGCAAGTTCTTTTAATAATTCCTTTCTTCTTAACCATTTAGCCTCTTCTGAAGTATCTAGAAGATAAGTTGAAGTAAAATAGATCTCTTTATTAATTCAATCATATATTCGTTTAATCATGAATTATGTTTTCTTTTATCAAATCCCCTACTATTACACTTGGAGCCTTTGATCTGAAGGTTTAATCCACAAGGCAATAAATCAATGTCAGGAGATGTAGTCTCATGGTAGTCGATGATCAATTATTGGTTCATACATTATTTGTTCCTTTAAAATATTGGAGCCCATGTACACTATTGGTTTGAAATCAAGGTTTTCCAACTACTCTAGTCGGATTCACCGTATCCACTAACCCAGTTAAAACGTCAGACATTCGCTTTTTGTTCTTTCAATTTCGTGAAATACACCCCCACCGCGAGGAGGCAGTGAATAGGACTTCCCTGACAGTGGTTGTATGCATATGGCTATGTTACAGGATTTCGAGCTAGCGAGAGAGTAAGATGGCTCTCATATTCTCTATTTAATAATGATGGCTAAATTCTACTTAATGAAATACTTCTCTTCTCTCAGATATCTATTACGATGATGTGCTTAAACGTTAATAAGACTAATCATGTTACGTCAAAACCAGGATTCGAGACGTAAAAGTGAAGAATCAGATTACCACTGAAGAATACTTTGCTTCACACAATTATAATCAGTTCAGGCTTGACGACCAATCATACTTTAACTTCATTACCATATATCATTGCCAACCAAATTGCATTTTGCCCAATTATCAAAATGAATGATTATTATGACTTAATTGAGTAGACTAGAGGTTTGTCAATGGTGATTACGTTACATAAGACCAAAATATTCAAAGCAATGTATAGAAAGAGTTGGATCTCATCTTTTACATAAGATGGAAGCTATAGGAAAAGTCAATAATTGTAGTCTTTGCGTACAAAACAACTGTTCAATGCCTCTGTTGTTTCTTATATAATCACAGTAATGGCGAGACTATAATTTATGGACGAACCAATCAGAAGAGTTTCAAGATCAGGGCGCTAATTTCAGTACCTGATGCTCACGTGCGATCAGTTCATAGTGGAATTTAGAGAAAATGTGATAATTGATCGATTACAATAAATGGGACTAATGAGAAGTTCCTTTATTTGTGATTGTGGTAATCAATTGACTTGTGGACCTTGTTCAGACTACCTTGATGATGTTGTCTTCCGACGTAGTATGTGTTGGAGGAAGAAGTCTGCTAGAATAAGATATTTTCACTCGATTCATACTGAGACTAATGCAAATTATGACAAGTGTTGCGAACTGGATAATAAAAGAACCAGTAACACTGGTTGTAGCCGGATACTACAATGTATACGGATGATTTGGAGAGCGTACAAATGCCTACATAGACTTGATGATGTGCATCGTGTCGTTATCCAAAAGTGACATTTTGCGTACTCAACAACCACAGCGCACACAAACAATATGGGAGCTATGTGTTCGAGGCTGAAGACGTTTTTATGATGTTAAAATGTCTCCAGAAACCGACTATTGTAGAGCCATGTGGATGATTTCCTCTACCGCATTCATTACGATTTTAGAATCTCTGAACCTCTTCTAATCTTCACAAGTTTTTAAACCATGTAAAAGAAGTGTATTCAATTTAATCCCTTGGTTTTGTATGGCATATTTTTACTCTATACTGTTTCGTGATTGGCTAATACTTCTCAGGGTCACATAAGATTTGTTCAAAGGTCGTCCACAGATCGTAGTCTTGCTGACCGATCATCTTGTTGTAATTAACAGGATTGAAATTTTTCATCTATACATGATTATTGAGCATTCCTTTCCAATTCATCAACTTTAGCCCATGAATGATGGTTAATTTATTGAAAAACATCATTTCCCTAATCATTTTAAGGACTAAATAAACCCAAGAACTGAATTCAATCTGAAAAACAAATAGATAGTATCAATAATGTTCATGTTACCTGAACTTTCATTGCTTCCAATTAGTAATTCACAGAAATGTCTTTGAGGTAACCATCTTGTTAACAAGTGCCCAACTGGACCATAACCACTGGCACATAAGGAAGGTGAAAGTACTTCAGTTATCAAAGGTTTGGGTGAGTACTCATCTTTTATTGAATTGGACAAGGAATCAGCACTATTTTCATCGATTTCACCGTCGTCGTCGTCATCATCATCGTCATTCGTATTTTCTTCTTCTTCTTCCTCTACCAAGTCAGTCGTTCCATTCGTTGAATCACGAAAAGAATGCTTTCCGTTTTTCACATCTTCAATAAGATCGGAAAGAGGATGATCCCTTTCATGACGTATATCATGTGTTTTGTTTGTTTCGAGGTAACATTCCATACTATCACGTCTCAAGAGCTGTGGTGACATTACAAGACAAAGAGGCATCTTTTAGTTCTAATGAATTAAAATAGAAACTTTTCACAAAAAGGGTTTTATTGAAATGGTAGTAATTTTAATAGGTAAATTCATGAGTCGATTAAAGTTAGAACAGCTTGCAAAACCTGAAAGTACTAAATGATCATTTTGATTGAGATCATGAATCGACTGATGTTAGACCGCCGTTAAAAACCTGGAAGCACTGGACGACCGTTCCGTTCTAGTATGGGACTTCTCAGCAGTGTGCATCCACGATCCCTCTTTCGGGATTCGTCCTGGAATAGGGCTCGAAGATGATTTAGCCTCAATCGACTCATTAATTCCACTATTAAAAGAAGCTTTTCAACAACATTTTTGTGGAATTTGAAAATAGAATAGGATTCTGTATTAAAAACCAAATTGATTCTCTTTTACAGAAGATTCTAAATGTAAAGCTGAACGTATTTAATTATAATCGGATTACACACTGTCTAGACACTTCTAGGTGTGAAATTGTTAGGCTTTTGCAAAGTATGGAATGGCGTATCTTTATATAATCAATTCATCAGTCAGTCAGCTACACCGTAGAACCAAGCACATATATACATCGGTCCAAGTTGCCATACCTCATTAGCACAACAAGATCATAGGGGTAGTCACGTTAATGGTAGTAATCTATGAAAGAAAGATTTCATATAAGGATGCATTGCAGGAAGAAAGAACTAAAAAGAAAGGTATGGTGTAAATTTAATCTCACGGTTTAAAGGAAAACAAGGAATTTGTACACCTACACCATTGTGACTGATTCTGAGCTATATCACCCACAGTATCCATCCATTAGTTACGATAGTCGCGCACAACCCAACCATGTAGTCTCCATCTACAAGCATGGCTAAGACTAGTAGTTAGTGACCTTGTGGACTGATGTCACGTGTTGATCAGTTTCGCCGCTCCTAAATTTCTTCCAACAATCCTCACCACTAGTTTGTATTGCGTGTTGTGGTAATTAGTGTTCAGGCATACGTAACACGTGACCCTACCATCTCATTCGATGATGATTCACAATCTCCTCAACAGATTTACCATTATTCCCTAATATTACTTGCCCGGTGATCAGTTGAAAGATACACAACATAATCTAATTAAGAACATAGGAATTGAAGTAGTTAAACACCAAACAGCTCAGTTAGTTGATATCCGATCGAGTAAGTGAGTAGGTACAGTATTATTGACGTTATTTCCAACTATGTATATAGAGTTTTTAGTGGATATTTTAGTAACTTCATTTTGACTACTAATAAGTAGCTTAAAAACATTTTGTTTCTTTTTTGCCGGAACCTTATAGCTAAACAACTAAATCATATAGCAATTGTTACTCAATCTATGCTATTTGTAAAGATACATAGATAACTGGTTATTAACTTGAATGATACTCAATCATTTTATTAATGATAAATAACTAGAATCCTTCAGTTTGAGTTAATTTCAAATCTCGTCCATAAACATTTGGAATAGTAGAAGCTAACTACTGCAAATATCTAAAATGATATACTAGTAGAATCGAACAACTTCGCCTAGAGCTCCTCTAGTTCTACAGCCGGTTCAAAGCCTAGATAAAGGAAGAAAGTTGGGCACGAAGCTAGTTAACCCATCTCATAGAAAACTCACCAAAAAAATGCTAACTAGAAAAGTGGAATCAACTGAACAGTTTGAAGTGTTACGCATCTATTTCACTTAGATTGAAGATGCCACAGGTATTCGGATTTCGACAACATTTTAACCAGTAACACCTTCTAATATGAAGCGTACCTACCAAGTGAAATCAAAAGACAGAAGCGAGGAGGTTCGAAAATATGTTTGATAAGCTATCAATATATCGATGATCTTGTGATCTAACCTAGTTAGCGATTATAGTAGATGTTGAGCAAGGCGTTCCCACAGGTAATCTGGTGTGGATACATAACCGATCGCCTTCAGCTAGATGGATCTATTAAAACTTATTTGATCAGCATTCAATATCGAAATCTTACAGAGCTATTTATTTTCGTGGATTTATTAACCGTTACAAGATATTGTCATAATAGAAAAAACAAACACTCACTTTTGAATGAAATCGTGGAATCAATTGATTAGAATCAACATTATCTTCATTGTCATCATCTATTATATCATTATTACCAGTTATATTATCATTAGTTTCATTATCACATAGTATATTCACTTTCTTTAAATTCATTATATCATCTTCATGATCCGCTTTCTCTTCTTTAGATACTTCATAATGATTCTTATTTAATCCATTGAATCGTTTAAATTCAGGTGAATATTCACTATATTCAATTTTCAGATTATTTATATTAGAAAAATCAAATTTACTTGGTAACCAATTAGAATCATTTAGCTTTTTATAATTTGTTTTATGTATTGGTTTCATATTGATTATTGTATTTGATAAATCAATTAATTGATCATGTATTATATGATTCATTTCATTTGGTGTTGGTGGTGTTAATGAAAATGAATCAGAATTTAAAGGATTTGGTGATATAGTAACATGTTCATGATCATGTTCATGTTCATGTATTGATCGATTTACACTAGATGGGAACAAAATGAAAGAAGAACACATTCAAACAAACTAATAATGTGTGGTGATCTGCTTGATTATCTCGGAACTACCTACTCCTGACATCAACATCTTATATATCATACACGATAATCATCTGATATACTCGAACTACTTACTATTTTATTAAGTAGTATAATAGATACGTTAAAAAAAGTAAATAAAGGAGAGATACAGTAGTGAAGAAATAACACAATAGTAAACGTGATGTAATTAATTTTAAATTCAAATCCATCAATATCATTACTTATTGATAATTTTGTTGAAATCTCGACGGGTCGTCTGCAATCCTATTGCCATATTGGTAGATACAGACTACTTGGTTGTCGTTCGTGCGACTATCGTAACCAGTGGTTTGAGACTCTGGGTAACATGGCATAGAATCGATCACAATGTCATAAGTGTATGCACTCTTTGTCTTCCCTTAAACCGTCAGATTGAAATAAGTTTACGCTTTTATTTCTACGAACTAATTCCTGTATTATATTCTTTTATGCAGTCATTATTTTAAATAATACAACTGTAGGTCCGGTTACTATGTTAAACCCATATAACTTATTCTAGTTTCGGGACCGACCAGTTTATCCATTCTATCTGAGTCATATTTTGACCTTATTATTTATTCACTCATCATCTTTGAGTCTTCTTATATGAGCGTATGTGTGTCACTATAAATATAGAATTCACCCTTAATTAAATCGACTTGGCTCACACGCCTTCTCCAGTGCGTGTCTTTTCCCTTCGCTTCGTTTCTCTTTGTTTCGTCTCGCTTCGCTGCACTCCGCTCTCTCTTCTTCGCTTCATTAGCTGCGATTCTCTGATTGTCTGTTCCAATCCACAAATGTACAAAATATACATATTAAAACATCCATTCTCATATTTAACTTATTTAATTCCATTATTCACCAACGCTAGTTAAGTTGATAATTATATACGAAGATTGACGATAGTTGTCTTTCAATAACATTCATACGATCTAATGAAGTTAGTTAAGGAACCATCAAACTACCATTGAATTGACTACTTCTAAGAATTTATGGATCATCTCGTTGTGCTAATGAGGTACGGAAACTTGAACCGATACATATATGTGCATGATCCTACATTTTATCTGACTGACTATTGTATATAAATCTACTGTAATGTTCTAGTTACCTGTCAGTAAACTATTATATATCTATGCGTCATTCATCTGAATACCATTTAATTCAATCAATACTAAACAAAACAAAAATTGATGAGACTATAATTTATGGATGTCCATTGTGCGACTCTAGACTAACCTTGACAGTGTCCACCCAACAACTAGGACCAAATGAGTGTTATAAACCTATGTGAGAACTTTGACAGTTAACGCTTAAAGTTAAGAATCAACTTTTGGATTTTCATCACGAACTGACATCAGTGATAATGTCAAAACATAAAGAACACATTAAACCATGAGAAAAATGAACAAGAACTGGATGGAACTAGAAAAGAAGGCTTAAGACAGAGAATGGGTTAGAGAATGCTTATTGGCGTCCTATGCTCCATTAGGAGTAACAGGCTTAAGTAAGTAAGATAATACTAAAACTCCATTGAATCAAATGGATGAATGAATATCACATCAACATTCAAGATCCGTGATCTTATACACTTGATCGGTTCATTCATACATTATAGTCTCATTCAACAAAAATTTATTAATAATAAAATTGATATGATCCATTATTATTTACCTGCTATTTCGACTGCCTTTTAATGCACTACGTATTGGTTTTTTAGTTAAATCTGGTACACTAGCAAATGCATTCAATTTACGTACATAACGCATTTTAGGTGATTGATCTAAATCTAAATAATTTTGACTTTTTGATTCACCTTTTAATAAATTACATTTAGTGACATTTATTTTATCTGAATTTATTTGACTACTTATATTCATTATATCAGTAGTATAAAATTGTGTTTGATTCATAGATGGATTTATTGGTGTATTATGCTGATAGGATGTATGATTACGTAATAGACGTTGTTTCCGACTAGATAATGATGTAATTTGAAATTGATGATGACCAGATTCTGTAAAATGTTTACGTTCAAATGATTTTTTATAATTTTTCATACTACTACTTGTACTACTATTAATACTACTATTATTATTATTATTATTATTATTATTATTATTATTGTTATTATTATTATTATATTCTATTGAAACTGGTCTAGATAGATCTAGTTTATCATTTGTAAGTAGTTTATTAGTAGTATGTTGATATGAAATATGATTTTGTAAATGATCTGATTGTATATTTAATTTATTCGATTGTTCATTTAGAATAGGTGAATTTACATGTGATGTATCACTGTCTAAATCTGAAAAAAAGAAGAAGAAAAAGAAAACAGATTTTGTTCAGTGAATATATTACTATTCAATGATAAAATTATGTAATGTATGCTATTGATGTCGATGGATATAAGTAGTATTGTGCTGTGGGTTACATATATCCATATAAGTAGTATGTAACGGTGATCAGGCATATTATATATATATATTTCAGCAGAATATCGATAAGAAAAGAACGAGAACGAAAAGCAATTGGTATGCAAACGTGTAAACAATGAAATCTGAGACAATCGATTGATGTTTGCAATAGGAACAATCAAGTTTAATATGATGGATTGATATTTTGCAAATTAACGATTTACAATATGATTCTTAGATCCCCATTTGTGTTCTTGTTCAATACAGTATGTGCATTATCAATCGAAAGTGAAATCTTTAGTGGCAGAAGGCAAAGAAGATCGAAGAGAAGAGAATGAGAACAGAGAATGGTTTCTATGGAAACAAAGGAACAAATGAATTTTGAAATGATTGATTGATATTTTGCAAATGAATTACTTACTGTATGGTTGTTAGATTTTATTGAAGGATTCTGTATATTGGATTGTCCTCACTTGTATTCTCGTTCACTACATAAGTAGTCTATGAATATGAATAGTCAAGGTCAACAGATTATATATTATCTCATCTTTACACGGTGAAATATTTAAGCATGGTCGATCTCTTGTAAGTTCTTGAATTCTTCATCTGATCTAAATTACCGATCAGACTTATGTGGACACGTGATAGTTGTCAATATGGTCATTCAGGTTTCTAGCAGTCTTAATTTTCCTTCTATATATATTTAAATAGTTAGATGTTTAAGAAAGTGTCTTTGTAATTGACTAGTAACGTCGAATATATCAAACTCCACCTGGAGCCCCCTGAGGCTACTGCCGATTCCAAACCCAGATAAAGGAGGAGGGTCGGACATGCAGTTAGCGACTACACCCTGTAGAAAAATAACTACCTAAAAGGACGTTAACCAGATAAAATAAACTCTGCCCTGGGGGTTAGAAGGTTTTCACTTAAAAGAACAATGACGCCTCATGGTATACTTTGAGTTCCTTCGGAAGTCACGAAGTTGATGCTCATTCTGAAGACCATATCAACTGTTAATTCAGGTACATGGAATGCTCGTACAATGTTGGAGACTGGGAAAGTCACTCAATTTATTGCTGCACTACATATTATGGATAGTTTTGAAATGGTTAACTATGAAATATAACAAAACAATATAACACAAAACCTTATGAATGGTGACAAATATTAGAAGGTTTAAATTACTCATAGGACAAAACCCATATCCTAGTCTTCACTATTAATCATGGGAGGTAAAATCTAATTCACATGTCCTCATCATGCCTCCTGGATAGTGGAACTCAGTCCCATAAACTAATGTGAGCGGTAACCCTAGTGGTAGAGATCAGGCTAACCAACCACTTAACCAAAACTTACAAAGAATCACAGAACAATGACTTTTGAATCAAAGAACGACGAAAAATTCACAAAAGTGGTACACAGAATTTACGGCATTACTCCCTACGAAGCAAAATCCAAATGATTGCAAAAAAAGCTATTCTACCTCGTGCTTTGATATGATCTATTTCTCTACAGAAAGGTCTATTAGGCTTCAACATACTTGTTCGAGTGGAAGAGGGGGGGTAGGTGGTAACTATAAATCATTATTTAAAACATAGAAATCAATGTTTAACTTACTTTTAGTTCTTTTAAATAATCGATGCCAAAAACCTGTATAGATTATAGATTCATTTATTTGTGTATGATCACTTTGTTGTTGTGATAATGGTTCCGAATGATCTGAATTCATCAGATGACTATTTACTATAATCAATAAAAAGAAAATATCAATAATGATAATGAATTAACTGATGAACTGAATGATTGATTATATCTAGATGATTAGATTTTGAATGAGTTGAAGAATGCTGGTTGGCTGCCTATACTTCATTAGGAGTAACAGGTGTAAGTAATTTGAAGTCACTTGAACTGTAGAACTATTCCAAGTCAGAAAATGAGAAAATAGACGACAAATGAAAGGAATGAGATATGTGGACGAGAATGATCATGATTGATTGTCTATCTGGTTAGTCAGATATGTAGATAGTCTGACAAATGTGTTCTTGATCATCTGAGTTGTGTTGACATCTTGTAGAATAAGAGACATTGGGAGGGGAATCTAGTGTAGATAATCATTTAGCGTAAATTCATATGCCATACGTTTAAATGTGGAAACCCAATCGTTATCACATTAGACGAAGTAAAATCGAGCGCTATAACAATTGGCGACGGAGTAAAAAACAAAGAACCAAAGGTACAAACCACCAGTTATAACAGAGTGTTATTCCAAATAGTGTCAAATATGGTATAGAACTGTCAAGGATTTATAGTTTTTTCTGTCTTTAGTAAAGGTAAAATCAATATTATAGTCGTACAATTCATATACAGGGGGTTATTAGCATTTGTCCAATTGGGAAGCTAAACATTGAGATTCTATTAAGAGATGATTGGATGGAATATCTATGGTTCTTTCTTAGCTTCCTAAGGCTTCCTCGAATTCATCCATGGTTTGTCTTCATATTTACTCTCATTTTTAACAAAAAGAATTCACTTACAAAATACAAAATAAAGTATCTTGGATGTTAATATCTCATCTTTTAGCCTACCGATTCTATATCTATGTGATGTATGAACTAGTAAAACCACAGTAAAATATCAGCCACAATAATAATAAAGAACATGTATGAACTATGCAATGTCTCTAACTGCAATCGGAACCTCACGGGAAGTATGAGTCACCTTCATATGATTTTGAGATGGTGGAGAAGATTTGTAGCTCAAGTGGATGATTTTGATGGAGTTTTGTGTTCTCTGAGCTGGATGGTTTGGTCGTGGAGCTTTCATCGTTCTTCTGAACAACATCATCAGCACAAACTTCAGATAGAAGTGAAGCGTTCGAATTTCTCCATATGCGTTTCACAGCTTGTTCTGTGCACATCGATGTTGATTGGTTCAATAAGATGTCTTTCAGAAGAACGATGAAAGCTCCACAACCAAACCATCCAGCTCAGAGAAAACTCCATCGGAATGAGTCACCCTTAAGTTTGTAAATACCCCATAATGGCAACTATCAACTGTCAAAAATGTTTGTCATTAAAGACCTTGAAGATCTTGTATAAATGTGATTTTTCTATTTTATGGTGTGTGTGTGTGTGATGTGGTTTGTTTGATTTGTATATAAACTCAGTATGTTTGATATACATGACTGATATCACGAAGGTTGAGTTTGTCGTTCTGGAATCAAACAGACAGGTAAAGCTAGTTGGAAAGAAGGAACGATAAAGACTTTAGAGTGGCCGTACGGGTTTTATGAGTCATTGGTCTAGTCGATAAATCACTGTCTTCTAATCGGTGGTAACATTAGGTTATATTTATATATTAATAGGAGACAATGGCAAGACTATAATCTATGGACGAACCAATCAGGTATAAGATAATAGGTCTTGGATTTCAACTATTAAAATTTGTAAAATCTCCACAAAACCCATTCTCACAATAATCATCTGCCCACTAGTAACTGACTTCAAGAGGCATTTCCTGGACTCCTAGTTAGAAGCCGTTATCAGTGGAGTTCAACGAGGTCTGTTGTGAGATATCAGCTCACTGAAGACAATGGTGTACACTGGTGCAATTTCGTGGATTGGTTAAAGTTAGAGATTGACACCATTAAATGCCGTCTGGCTCACTGGTCTGATAGTTAAGCGTTCACGCGCAAGACTAACACGTAGTTCCTTGGTTCAAATCTAGCGGGAAGGGGACAGGATCATGGATGCGCACTTCTGAGAAGTTCCATACTTTAAAAAAAAATGGCCATCTAGTGCTTTCAGGTTTTCCATAATGGTCTAACTTCAATTGGCTCATGATTTTAACCATTTTAATAACCACATACAATAGATAGTCACATCAAATAGAATGATAATTAACAACAGTAGATCAAACAGATAATAGTACAGTTATTGACACAAATATGAATGAGAGAGCGAGAGAGAGAGAGAGCGACAAAGAGAACGAGTGAGTAAGAGAGAGAAACATCAATGGAAATTACATCCAGTTACTATCCAACTTATAACTAACTGAATGAGAACAACACATTGTAGTTACTTAAAAGAATTCATTTAAGTTCATATTACATCTTCTGATGATGACCTTAACTATTCAACATATTTGTTCTTGTTTTCTTTCTATTCTCTTCATTATTTTAAGGTCGAGAAAGAAGAGAACAATATTTTTTTTATGCAAATTAAACCATCCTAATTATTCTATGTAAATAATGAATGATTTCATTGAAACTTTGCCTGGAGCTCCTCTCAGGTTACTGTCAATCTTAAGAGCTTGAATTAAAGGAAGAGGATTGAGCATAGGGTTAGTGACACCCCCCCCGACCCAGTACAAAACTAACTCAATCATACACTTGATATTGTTTTACTTGAATCTTCCCATTGATGTTTAAGACTTCAATTGATCAGTCTCTTATTGGCATATGGAAAGATTCAAGTAGAACAATATCAAGTGAATTTATACTTCACCCGATTGCACAAGCAGGTGACTATCAGAACTCAGTAGCTAAGTGGATAACACGATGGTATTTGAAGTGGACGGTATTGAGTGTCGAGTCTCAAAGTAAACATCTACTCTAAGATGCAGGTACATCCAGCTGACGAGTCTCAAATAGGACGAAACACACGTTCTAGATTCCATTGCTAGCCACTATCCATCTTTACTTATCAGTATAATAATTTACTATCTAATATCATGAAATGAAAATAGATTTCAGTATGTATAAGATTTAATTAAGAATTAATTAATATATCTAAACATCAATTTGTTTGTCTTAATATATCACAAAAGAAACATTATCGGTGTGAGATAGTGAAGAATGTTATGTTTTATAATTGAGATCATGAATAATGAATGAATGCTAGACGACTATTGAAAACCTGGAAGCATTAGACGGTTATTTTGTCCTAGAGTGTGACTCTTTGGTAATGCCTATCCACAATCTGACATGCAGGATTCGAACTGAATTCCATGGATTAATATTCACATGCAAAATAAAAAGGTCTTTTGTTCGAATCCTACTGAAGAATTCCATACAAGGACGAAATGATCATCCAGTCCTTCCAAGTTTTCAATGATGATCTAATATACATTCATCATTCATGATCTTAATCAATATATACATACTTGTTAAGATCCATTTTTCATGAATATCATTGATCATTGTTTAATTGACTATTTAAACATGAACTAAAATATATAAATAAAAAGAATTCATGTTCCCTCTTTTTGTGGTTTACCACATTCTAATGACCCTTTATCATTTTAATAGTTCAAAGAATTCAATTATAAAAAGAAAAAAAAGAGGAAAAAAGAAAAAGCGAGAAAAAAAAGGGGAAGAAGAAAAGTACTTTCTGGAAAAATTGATTTATCATTAATTGAATTAAATCAATTGAATATTGAATTAGTGAATTTTAAAAGTAACAATAAGTTTTATGTGTTGCGTTGGAAACAAACAAAAAGTTCCAATTTTATTTATTTATTTATTTATTTGAACACATAGATATTAGTACAAGGAGGGCACCAAATAGAGATATGCGTCACACAGATCTCATTTGATATGTGTGAGGATTGTGATACTACCCGAGTGCCAAAACCGAAGCAGGTGGTTTCCTTAGGGGGGGAAACACCTCGAACTTTCGACCTGAACATCTGACCCACAAAGCAATGGAGCATCGTGAGGAGATACAGTCCCATGGTAGCCGGTGACCAACAATTAGTTCATACGTCATTTGTTCCTTCAGGATACTGGAGCCAGCCCATGTGCATTATTGATTTGGGATCCGGTTAAAGCCGATGCCGGACATTCACTTTTCGTCCTCTCATTTTCGTAAACAACATGCTCTTACAGGCAATTATTAAGAAACTACAATACATCAAACACAAGGTCCAATCTCGGCAATAATGAGTTCCACTTCATACACTACTCACAACTACGATTTATTAGTAGATAGAAAAAGGTCAACTAGCATCATTTATATGAAATTCATTGTCAAACACACTCAATCCAATGTGCGAGTGAGTAAGTGACAGTTGGCTTGAATTGTTTGTTGAGGATTGATAAGATTTGATTTAGTTTGTGTACGTTTGTTTGTGTGTGTGTATGTGCATGTGAGTTGGCAAGAGTGGATTAGTGTTTGTGATCACATCTCTTGTACCCAATACATCAGACCACCATAGTGATATCCACTTGATATCAATCCCATCTGTACGGTTGTTAACCAACATTGAAGTCAGAATTTTTATTACAAATGTCAAGAACTACGATAGCCATCATCCAGAAGATATAAGTGTTTATTAACAACTGTCTACACAAAATATTTCGGATCCTGTTGGTCAGACACTATCAGCAAGAACCTACTATGGGAGAGAACAAACCAGATCCCAGTGGAAGAAGAAGCACTAGAAGTGGATAGGACACATATTGAGGAAAGCATCCAACTGCGTCAAAAGGCAATCGCTCACATGGAATCTTGATGGCCAAAGAAGAAAAGGAAGATCAAAGAACATATTACTGCGAGAAATGGAGACAAACATGAGAAGAATGAATAACAATTGGATAGATCTAGAAAAGAATTCTCACGATAGAGTGGGTTGGAGAATGGTAGTTGACTGCTTATGCTGCATTGGGAATAACAGGTGTATGTAAGTAAGTAAATAGGTAAGTGTTGAAATGCCAAAGAAAACTTGTATTCTTGATCGATGGT